TTTCAAGGCCATTCATAACCTTGCCCCCCCTTACCTCTCCGATCTCCTCCACATCGCCACCCCCTCACGCTCCCTCAGATCCTCCTCCTCCCTCCATCTCTCTGTCCTCTGCTCTGGGGAGCATGGCTTTCAGTCGCTCTGTCCCCAAACTCTGGAACTCCCCCCCCCCCGGATCTCAGAAACATGGACTCACTACCCCACTTCAAATCAAAACTCAAAACACATCTGTTCCAAATTGCATATTCCCTTTAACTGTCCATTTCCATACCTGTATGTTTTTTTTATTTATTTTAACTGTGTTTTAACTGTGTTCTTAATGCCTGCACAGTGTCCTTGGGTGTCCAGAAAGGCGCTTTTAAATAAAATGTATTATTATAATTATTATTATAAAGGCCAGTGCATGCAACTCCAGCATTTTCAGTGCATGCATGTCAGGAGCTGTAGATGTTTGAGGTAACTCTATGTGCATGCCTCTAAATCTGCAGCTCTGATTTATTCAGGTGCATTAACCTCTTTCTCCTAATTGTCTCACCAAACTAAGAGGGCACTAGAGTTCAGACAGACTAGAGCTAGACAGACAGTGCTTGATAAAAGGAGAGATGACATCCATTCCCAGTCAAGGGCGCAAGATAAGGCATAGATCATAGAGAGACATTTCAGTACAAAGGTTAGTTCAGGCCTCGACACGTTCCCCCTCAGATATCCCAGCAAATGGGATGAACTGGTAATGTGAACTTCTTCTGGCCTAAAGAACTGTTTAAAGGTGTATAAATGGACATTTAGGGGGGGGGAAAGTGTGTCAGTCCAGCGAGGACATACATCTGCACCTCATTGTTTGGGTGATCATTTTTATTCCCCCTTTTTCCGTCATTTGAAAGAACTTTCAGATATGCAAACAATCTTGTGTTCACTCTTATCCTCATCCAAACATTACCTTATCTGTCCAAGTATTAAAATCAGAGCTCAGACTTTTTCCACAGTTAGTTTCAGCCTCACTCTCCAAATTCTGCTGCAGGAAATAGAAAGTGGAGCAGTGAAAACTATCAATGCAACCTGCTGCAATTTAGCTCTAATGCTGAGTTTCTACATTCTGGTGTTTCTACAGAGAAGCTTTAAAACTAAAGTGAGGCTCACATCAGTTTTAACTCATCCCAATCACACACCAGCGCCCCGGCATGATGGAACTTTTGGGGATAAGTTTGCACAAGGACACTTTGGCATGCGGAAAGCTGGACCTTTGAACCCCTGACCTGCCAATTGAGAGACAAATGAGTCCCCCACAGAGTCGTCCCTTTATGAAGACAGATGGTAAACAAGTTATATTTATTGGTGTTCACACATATACCTCATGGTCCTTTGGATTCTCATCCTTGGCCTAAAGACAACATAGAAAACAATACCACTTGGCTTGTTCTCAGGTCCCAGTCCAAATCCAGCGTCCATCAGAGTCCACTTTATGGGTATCTTTCACATCTGTGAATGCTGAACAATGTCTCCAGGTTTAGGAGCATCAGGACTAGTTGGAGTCACCGCATGGGCTTACTATCGCTTGTCTGTGAACTTTCCTGAGGTCTAATGAATCAAAATCCAACACTCTTTTGAAAAGGGTATCTGGACTTATTTGTGCCTTTTCGCCAGGGCAAAATGTCCCTAATAAGTCCAGCTACCCTTACAATGAAGAACTGGAAATAACAGATGCTGCATCCTCAGTTTTAAGTATAATGCTGAACAATATCTCCAGGTTTAGGAGTGACGAAAAACATGACCCTGTTATTATTTTAAATATCTGAACTCTCTGAAAATTGAGGTTGTAATTTAGAAGCCTGGACAGACTCTGTAGGGGTATACACTACAGGCCAAAAGTTTGGAAGCAAGGCCATTACAGGCTGAACAGTTGGGAATAACTTCAAGTTTTTGTTCACAATGCTTTTTTTTTTTAATCCAGCATGAGTTTTATGTATTTTGGGATGTATTTACTCCATGATCAGATGTTGCTTTCATGGAAATGCACCATTTTACTCCATTTACTTTTAGATATAAATTGATGTTAACAGACCGTTGCTAAATATATGTCAGCAAAAGATAATAAGGGCTTAGTTTTAGGGTTGAAAACATTTGCAAGAGTCACAACTTCAGTGCAAAAGAAAAAAAAAACAAATCAGTTGGATTATTCACTTCAACTTTTTGGCTTTTGAGAGTCTGCATACAAAAATCCTAATAAATCTCGACTGCATTCAAACTACTGCAAAAATGGCAAGAAAGAAGCAACTGAGTAAAGAAACAAAGGTACAGATTTGTACATTGAGGAAAGAAGGACACACAGAAAGACAAAATTGCAAAACGCCTAAAGGTGTTTAACAAAGGAGTCCACTACACTCTGAAGAGACAAGAGGAACCTGGAAGTTATGATTATAGAAAAAGACCTGGACGAAAGAGAGTTACTACAAAAGCAGAGGATAAGCATAGCATTGTCACCAGTAAGAGAGATCGGCGAAAGACAGCACCAAAAATAAGGGGGGAAATCAACATGACAAGGTCGAAACCAGTATCTCTGACAACCGTGAAATGACTTTTGAGAAAGGCTGGTCTGAAGGGTTGTGTATCTGCAAAAAAACACTACTTCGTCCACAGAACAAGAACAAGAGATATGAGTGGGCAAAAGTTCACAAAAATTGGACTTATGATGACTAGAAACAAGTTTGCACTGTTTGGTTCAAAACGCAGAGTCTATGACCGCAGACAAACTGGTGAAGGTCTGAAAGCACCATGTGTTACACCCACAATTCAGCATGGAGGTGGTAGTTCCAAGGTATGGGGATGTTTTGCAGGTGATGGAGTAGGAGATTTGTTTGAAGAGAAGGGTATCATGAAGAAGGAACAGTACCACTCTATCCTCCAGCACCATGCTGTTCCATCTGGACTCTGGACATAAGTTTGTTTTGTAGCAAGACAATGACCCTAGGCACTTTGCCAAGCTCTGTCAGGGTTACCTAGACAAAAAAGAATAGGAAGGTGTTCTTCAAAAGATGGTTTGGCCCCCTCAGTCTCCAGACCTTTCTCCAATTGAGCTTGTGCGGGATGAATTGGATCGATCGATGAAGAAAAACACGTCCCACGAATCAGCAGTCTCTTTTTAATGAACTTAACCCTTTGATGCGCAACATATCCACACCCCCTCTAATGCGCAACATGGGTCTAAAAAGACCCGCATTCATTTCCAATGGTATTTCATGCTGGCTGAGTTTTCCTTTGTTCTATCTTTTGGAATCAGTTTATTTTCTGATTGAATATTCCAAGTATTCTTTAAATATCTTGTTTTTGATCACCACTGATCATTATTTCTATTTTTCTTTTCATACTATATGAAATAATATAGTTTCTATATTTTTACATCAAGTTTACACACATGGGTCAAAAATGACCCATTCATCCAAGTGTGATTTAATATAAAATTACCTAACACTATAATAATAATTTGTTTCAAGTAATGAAATTAGCAGTGAGTGGGGCCAAACCATAGACTGTATATACTATGGACAACTTGGTTCCGCCTACCACCTGTATACAGATTTGGAGCCAAAAAGCTCTCGGTATTTCCGGGATTTTTCTACATTTCTGAAACCAGCACTGCGCAGTTGTGATGCGCGCATTCGGCCGCGCAGTCGCTGAGAGTCGCTGTGATGACGCTCGGCTCAAACAGCGTATCCCCCCGGGAGAGCTACGCAATCCCTGAACGCCGATAGGCTGTATCCATAGACTGTATATACTATGGACAACTTCGTTCCGCCTACCACCTGTATACAGATTTGGAGCCAAATAGCTCTCGATATTTCCAGGATTTTTCTTCATTTCCTGAAACCAGCGCTGCGCAGTAGCAATGCGCGCATTCGGCCGCGCAGTTGAAAAGAGTCGCTGTGATGACGCTTGGCTCAAACAGCGTATCCCCCGGGAGAGCTACGCAATCCCTGAACGCCCATAGGCTGTATCAGGTGTCAATCATAGCAAACATGAACCCCTTATAACTTTTAAAAATGGAGCTGTACAGAAAAAAGAGGACTTGAGCACAAACCAGTCTTACAGTAACTACATGTCAACATTGCAAGCAGGGGGGAGAAAAATGTATGTACTGTGTAATAAATTTCTAAAGTTTGTCCACAGCCCCATAAGCTTTGCTGGCGGAGGCGGGATTTATGACCTATACTGCAGCCTGTAAACAGGGGGTGCTGTTCTCGGAGTGGCTTCACTCAGCGAGGAGGCAGACGGCGTCCATTCTGTATACAGTCTATGGGCCAAACACTTTTGTATTTTGTATCAGCAACATGTTTATTTGTCGTTTTGTCACATACACATGCGTCTGATTATAGCTAGCTGAAATAACGCTAGCTGTTTTACCTGTAACTGTGTAACTTTCCAACATGTAATGTCCTCACTCTCAAGGTAACCTAAACCTAATCAAATCAAATCTATGTACAATTATATTTCACAATTGTCATCAAATAATTTCTAAGATAATGTCAGAACAATTGAAAAACCATACTTACATGTATTAGATGGTCTTTTCATGCTAAATGCTACAGTCACTGTATGTGGGTCATTTCTGACCCATGAATGTAAACTTGATGTAGAAATACAAAATCTGTGCTTCCTCATAACATAAGAAAGAAAAAATAAATATAATTATTTGTGCTCAACTAAAACAAGATCTTTACTGCATAATGGGAATAGTAAATGATAAAATTAATTTATTTCAAAGATATACCATAGAAACACTCAGCCATACATGAAATAACATTAAAAATGGATTCGGGTCATTTTAGACCCATGTTGTGCATTAGAGGGGTAGTGATACAAAAACGGTTTTTATTCTAAAAGTAAAAAAAGAAAAATTAACATAAGGATGTAGGGTCGTCAAAAACAAGTTAATTGAGGAATTCCTTGAGTACCGACTGATGGAATCAATTTATTGAAAAGATATATAAGATTTAAACTCAGCCGGGTCTTTTTTGACCCATGTTGCGCATCAAAGGGTTAAGAAAGCTTGGAATGCAATCCCTTGAACATACCTTAAAAACCTTGTGGAACGAATGCCTGGTATATGCCAAGCTGAGGAGGTAGCCAGAGGAGGTTACTTTATAGAAAGCAAAGTCTAAGCAACAATAACTCAAATAATTATAGTCAAAATGTCTTCTGATAAGTTACTCTTTTCACAATAGTCATGTTTATTGTGTTGCAAATTATATATATGAAACTATGATCTTTTTTTGTACAAATCTGATCTTGCCTCCAAACTTTTGGCCCATAGTGTACAATGATATCACAACACTGTTGGGAAACTGGACTATAATATACTATATTGCAGGAGGTGACAGTGACAGGCAGTAGAGTTTTGCACGAGTTGGTGCTCAGGTGAACTCTCATGGGTTTTCATTCTACTGTGAAAACTGTCTTCCATTTCCTGGGAGATTGTTCTGCTTACAAATAAATATATAAAAGGTGAATTCTCTCTAGAATATTATATTCATCTGAAAATAATAAAAGTTCAAATAAAAGAGGCTAATTTCAAGAAGAGGAACGTGCATTTAAAAACAAAGGTGTATCTGTTCTTGAAAACCAGAGATGCTGCTGGCACTACGTTCAGAATCAGCTGCACACACTCCTCACACTGTGTTCCTTTATTTCCCCCGCCTCGTGCGCACCATCGCCTGCCTATGGGCGCGCGCATTATGGGGGTTGGGGTTAGTGAAGAGGAGGGGGGACATTGTAGCCGGGAGCGCGCCTCAAAATCTGTGCACGTGCCCGCGAGAATCGGTTAAGATACCTACCAACCAACCAAACTCGTGAAATGGGTGGGGGGAACTGCCACTTTAATGCTCCTTAATGCTGCGTTTGAGGATCGCTCGTAAATTCTCATAAGCGACTGGAAACTTTCACTCTCAGTTTTTGTGAGCTTCTGTGGCTTGTGAAGGACAGTTACAGACAAACAAGACGTGTCAATGTTTAAATTTTTATCTTTGAAGATTTATTTCTGAAAATGTAATGATGAATTTCCTTTTTTTTTCTTTCTTTCTTTTTTTTTTAAAAAGAATTTGGCATATATTTTCGCTTTTGAACAGCTGCCTGAACAACTTGGCACCTCCTTGTTTTGATATCTGGTGTTCAACGATAGCAGTGAGAAAATTAGAAAAAATACTTTGCAATTTTTGGAGAAAGAATCATCACTATTTTGCCAATGTATGCATAGATATATGTAAGTGGCGCAGTTTTCCTCAGTTTGCATCTCATCCAGTTTGACTCTCGTGCATCGACGCACTTCATGAAATCCGAGCTTCTCGGAGGTACATGAAGGCATCAGCCACACTGCTCTCCTGTTGCTCTAAGGGGAGGCAGGCCGGTGATTTTCCACTGCCGCTGATGTCTGTGGTCTCCCCGTTTTAAGAGACAAAGGTCAGAAAGAGAAGCTTATAAGCAGGCTGAAATATAGGCTACCGACGCGTCCACCCCTCAGTCGCTCTCACGGACACAAGAGGACACGGACAAGACGGAACGGACAAGGGACAGCGCGTAAAGGACATTAAAAGGACAAAATAAGATCTAAGATCACATCCAACAGGGCAGGTAACGGAAACACACCGACATCTTCGTGCACACCTTGACAGCATGGCAGAGAAAGAGGATTTTGCCTCCTTTTAACATTTTCTCCTGATTTCTTAAGAATTTAATTTTAATGTATAGTATTAATTTTTATCTCCATTGTTTCTGACTCTAGAGAGTTTGCTTTAATCATTTTTAAAGCGCACACAGAGTAGAAATTAAGAGAACTTTTTAGTCCTATATCCATAGAAACACATCATCTTTCAGGGTTTGGATGAATGTCTCCCTGTGTTCTCGGCTGCTGTTGGAGGTGTGGATGCTGGGATGTGTTTTCTGGTCAACACGGTGTAAAGCTGCGATGTTCTGAATGAGAGAGGCTGTTCTTTCCGTGCGCTCAAAGAGGAACACTGATGGATTTATAAAATCCGAAAAGGGTTAAACGCGGCACGGTCAGGGTTGGTGGGTAAAGTTGTTTTTATTTTGGGGTGTCAAAGGCTTTTTCACGCGTCAGGTGCAAACGAGTTTTAACGCGTGCGTATTTTTTCACGCAGATATTTTGTTTCCTGTGAATCTCAAATTTTCTCCTGGATCCTCTGTCTCTTTATGTGTCGTGCAGTTCATTTGAAGATTTTCGTATCTTTCGATGTTTCTGTTTTCGAGCATTTCCTTTTTAATTTATAGATACAGTTTACAAATGCGAAAGCTTTCATTGGAGCGACAGTCATTTAAGGTTTTATTTCGCTTGAGCTGCGCCTTTCTCTTTTTTTATTCCGTTATTTGACTAGAGCAGAAAGGGGAAGTGAAGCGCTCGGAGCGCTGAGGAGGCGGAGATACTCGTCAGCCGCACGCTGCACATCGTGCGCTGCACTCTCTCTCTCTCTCTCTCTCTCTATCTATCTATTTGTCGCTTGCTTCCTTTTCTTTCCCTCACGTTCGGGTTGTCTCTGGAGAACAGTGTTTGTGATTTCTCTTTATGTGTTTTGTTTCAATTTGCAGGAAAATTTCAATCACGTATGCAGCCGTTTTGCCAATAAATTGCGGGAGCTGCATGTAGAATGTAATACTTAAGGCACATAAAAATACATTATGTGTTGAGACGCATTTCTGCATACATTTGCCTGGCTGTGTGTCTTTTATTGTTGTAGCTTTGAGCGTCTACAGGAGGGTTGGGTTTTGATGTCTCTCAGCTGGTCCGTTTTGGATCACTTTCAACCCTGGAAAATTACCCAGACGTGTTATCGTCCAACGCCAAAACTCTTGTAAATTTGTAATCTGCGTGGAAATACTTGAGTCCCGCTTTTTCACTATCAGTTTTCAAAATTTAAACAGTCGGTAAACCATTTGGATTGAAAGTTGATGCAGCCTGAATCGATGAAATAAGCAATGTGCGAGTGTTTTGAAGCATCAGTTGTGTAGTTTTGAGGTTGACCATATTTGGCCTTGCAGTTCACTGCCATCAGACTGATCTGTGTTTAACAGGATGAAGGCTGGCGGTTAGAGACATTTGGTGACCAGCCACACTTACTCAGCATGTGAGGGGCAGACAGTTTTCACACTAAGTCGTGAAATTCAGCAGCTTGTTTTGTAACTCTGTGTTTTCACATATACTAGTGCTGCAGGTTCCCCTGCAGTGTGATTTCCTGGCTATGTTGTTTTGAATTGGCGATCAAGTCAGCTGATGAAGTGTAAAGTCCCAATGAGTTGGAGTGGAAGGGCCACATAGGAACAAAGGATTTTGATTGAGGGGATCAGAGTTAATTCCTGCTGGGAAAATCAAATTTCTCTTTGAGATGTGTTGTACGTCAGTCACGTCATCTCCAGTTTTTTTGTTACATAATGTGCTGAAGGTTCATGCTGGAGCTCTAAACCCAAACCGTGACCTCTTTCCAAAGCAAACTGCAAAGATTTCCTCTCTCTAAGCATGTTTTTTTTTTATTGTTGCATGTCTGAATTTTGTTTTTAAAATTTTGTTGGCCAATTTGACTGCATGTGCAGAGCTTGGATTGTTTTATTTGCATATTTTCATAACAGGAAAAGCTGCAACATTTGATGAGTTTCCAACAAGATGAAAAAGAGAAGGTGTGAAAAGTCTTATGTTTCATTTTCAGGACCTTTTCCTCTGATTCCTCTGATTACCAGAAATAATAAAGACAATCCAGGAACCACCGTGCAGGTCCTAACATGATAGAAACTGTTTTTATGTCTGGTTGTCTTCAGCTGAATCTTATCTGAGCTGCTGTAGAGCCTGATGTGTTTTCATTCTTTTGAGCTAACAGCGATTACATCTTGATATGCTCCTCAAAGACACACCTCGATGATTCCACTACATGTGTGTCAGCGTGCAACCTGGTAAAGTTCCTCCCTCTCTATTTAAACTACAGTTTCTGTGAAATTCTAGTGAATATCAAATAGTATTGATGCCTGTTTTGTTACCATGGCAACATAACCAAAACCCCAGAGCCCCAGTAGTTGGTTCATATTTCTGTGCTGGTCTACAGGAGGTGTGTGGATAGAGCCCAGTATTTGACTTCCTTCCTTTTCATTGGTGGTACTCGCTCTTATCATGTCATCGCAATGTAACTCCACCACAGATGTGAAAATACCACGGACATCATCTATTCAATTGTGACGACCCAAGTGTACTCACTTGTGCAGCCTGATTGGGACTGATCAGAATACAGTGAGTCCTGTTGGTCTTGGTTTGGTGTTTCTGGGACTTTTTAAAACTCAAACTCACCAATAAGAGAAAAAGATCCTCTATCTCTCAAATCTATGGCGATATACTCTGCCTTCTCAAATGTTTGCTAAAATCCGATACCAGTTTACCAATTGAGAAACCCAAATTGACCACCTGATCTATTGGCCATGTCTCATTAGGAGCATCTTTTGTCATATCTTATTGGGGAAGAAGCAAAGAAAGAGTCTCTGAGCTCACTGTTGATAAATTACAACATCCATCCAAAAAAAAAAAAGCAAATTCTACAACACTCTGGGTCTATTTCACTGCCAGTTCAGTGATCTGTCTGATTTGCAGCCCTAAATCCAGGATATGTAGGGTTTTATGGACCATCAAAACAAACCTTAAGAGAAGATCTTACAAGTTCCTTCTCCAAACGACTGAAAAGCTAACTGTTTGGAGAATGCACTGAAAATGAAACAGGCATATTTATTGTAGTTTTAGTATGTCACCTTGCGCTAGCATGGTCAAACATCTTCGATGCTCAGTACAAAGTGCAGATTATGAAAACACACACAACTTAAACACATTAAATAACTCGTTTTTAAGTCGCTGCATAGTCTTTGATTGGAAAATGTTCCACATCCTTGTTAACGGTAGCAGGTTATAGAATAGCTTCCACGCTGTGGATAGATCGGACGGATGGTGTTTTACGTAAAGTTGGGTAAATTTACTAGTACGTGAGTTATGGTTGTTGGTCTTCCTGTCAGTGTGTCAGGGCAGCTCTGCAGGCCACTGTATCAACTGGAGGCTTGTTTGCTGGTAAATCATTTAGTGAGTAACCTGAGGTTGTTGGAATTTGTGTGTGTGTGTGTGTGTGTGTGTGTGTGTGTGTGTGTGTGTGTGTGTGTGTGTGTGTGTGTGTGTGTGTGTGTGTGTGTGTGTGTTGGTGAAATCTCAGTACTCTGGGAAGGCTGCCGTGCCTGTGGCTGTCTACAGATGAAATTTGATAGAGCCTTCAGCGGCACGGTGAATAGAAACATCACCCGGTTACAGTGCCGGAGCTGCTGTTGGACTTTTATGACGGTGTCCTTGACTTCAGCTCGGACTGAACCTTCACTACTACTTTACATATTAACCAGCCTGAGCCACTGACCCATATACACTCAGGTTTGTCAACATCTTGAACAGCTGGTCATTGAGCTCAGCGGCTTCGAAAGCTGTCTTCAGCCTCATCTGCTAAAATTTGGATTTCAGCACGACTCTTATTTCAGGGTCAGACATCATGGTATTAAATGGGATATAATTCATTTCAGTAGCTGGATGTCAAGTGCACACTTTCTGGATGATGGAAGTCAATCGCTCTGTTGTAAGGTGAATGATGGACTGTGAAAGAGCAGCATCCTCTTGTGGCCACCGGACCCATTTATCAAGGAGGATTGATGTGATTGATGCCAAAGCAAACAACACACACAGCCATTGAAACTGGCATTGCACCGAGTTAGGCCTAATCATGCACAGCCCTTAAACCTGAAAACAGTGAAATTAATAAGTCGTACACACTCTTGATTTCATTAATGAAAATGACAATGATAAATGTTCCTCAGTTACTGTGGAGACAAGATGACAACAAGCCCAAAATTAATCACTTCTACTCAAAGCATTAAGAGAGTGAAACTGATAAACTCCAAAACACCTCATCACAAATGTCACATAAAAAAAACAAATGTCGAAACACAAAAGACAAACAGTAAGTGCCAAAGAACAAAACGCAAATGCCAAACTCCAAATTCAGAAAACAATCGCCAAATAACAGTTGGCAAATGCCACAAGAAAATGTGGCCACTAAATGCCAGATGTCAAACACTGAACCTCAAAGGCCAAACACCAAACAGCCTAAAAACAGACGCCGAATTTCTCCAGAATTTGAAGTCGGGTGTCATTACCTTGTCGTCTTAGCTTGCTTATTGGCTGTCAGTGATGTTTTAGTATTTACTAGCTTTCTCAAAGTGACTACAATCCGTAACTGCAGGTTCAATAATAGGACAGGTTACTGCCTGTGTATGAAGGTGGTTTACAGAACATCATAAACCATCATGAACCTGCACAGTACTGATAACAGTCTGCCTTTCTGTGGAAAACTTAATCTAGAACCAGCTTGTAGAAGCAGAAAGATAAAGTACAGATCTGAAACAGTGCCAGTCAAATTGATGGTGGCATGACCCGACATCACAACTCTGGTTGTTTACTGCTCTTGTTATCACTGACCCACTTTTTTGTTTTGGTCAGGATGTAATGAGTCAGATTTACAGGAAGCCAAGGTGTCTGACTCCACAGCATTCATGCACCGTCTCACATAGCTGATAGGACACGAATGTAAAGTTTAGATGATAGCAAAGCTGTGACGTTCTTACATGGCGCACGTAATTCATGATAAGCCTGAGCTCAGTGCTAAAGTGACTCACTCAGCGTAAGAGCAGGGGCCACTGTCAGAGGAACTTTTAAAACTGTCGATTTCTGTTTAAAAACACAGAGCAGAGTGGGATTCATGATAACTTCATGAAAACGGGCTGAGTCTAGTTCGAACACTGATGTCGATAAAATGTGTATTTAACAGGAAGATGGGGAGCAACACTGAAACCCGCTGACCTGGTTTGACCTGATGTACCTGAATGAAATGAACAGCAGCTGTTGACTTTGGTCAGATAAGACGGAAACGTTTGCACATCGTATTATATTTTTTCTGATACATCCTGGAGTCTTTGTTTGCATCTCTGTCACACTCACAGCATTTGTAGTCGCGATACTCTTGACATTTATTTCCATCACTCGCTGCTGTTTCTCGTCTCTCTCAGTTTCTCTTGCATCTATTTTTGTCTTGATCTGCATGTGACTCACTTTTCTTTGCCACACAGACTCTCTGCTCTTTGTTTTATTTCAGGTAATGACATTTATCTACCCTCTCTCACTTTTACCTTTCCTTCTGTTTCCACTTACTGTTTTCTCCTTCTCTCTGAGCTGCCTTGTCATCCTCCTTCTCACACAATTATACGCTCCATAAGTTCTGTCTCTTTCTGTTTGGCAAAAATGAAAGTGAGAGGCACAGGACATTATGTCGAGATGCAGAGTGCATTGAGGGCGAAGAGGGAAAGGACACAAAGGGAGGCAGAGGAAATGCAAATTTAAGTAAAAGAGGGAGGTCAGAAAGGGTGCAGAGAAAAGGGGGTATAGATCATTATAACTCAGAAGTTGTTGATGAGGATATGATCTGATTAAAAATTCCCCTAAATAGAAACAGTGTTTTGGTTGGCTGAAAACAAGAAACCATGTTTAACAGCAGATATATCCTAAGAGCGCCAAACCTCCTGTTACCGTGTTAACTGACGACACAAGGATCCCTCTGAAGATGGTGACGCCACACCCCCATTTGCTTGAGAATCACATTTCAATCGATACGAACTTGAAAAAATCAGCAACAGCTTAGCATGCAAATCTACAAAGTTTTAAAGATCCGTGTGCTCAGGTGTCATAGTCAGAGCGTTGATATACAGTTTACAGAACCTGGTTTTGACTTTGCTCAGGTTCAAGTTTTCTTGCAGCGTATGCCATCAGGGGAGGAAAGTAAAGGAGAGGGAGAGATCGAGTTAGAGTGAAGTCAAATAGACGGCGAATCCAGGAGGAGCTTATTCGATAAAAAAAGACAAAGTGAAGAAGCAAAGAAAGAGGAGTAAGAACGCAAAAAAGGGAGGAGGCAGAGAACGAAGAAAAATGAGATAATGTTGGGAAGATGAGAGTAAAAAGAAACAAGAGGGCAGTGTAAGGACGAAGAGAAAGGTAGGAGAGGAGGACGAAAAAAGAAAAAGAGGAGAGGGAGTGAAAGAAATATGTAGCAGAGGAGGAGAAGGAGGAGGAGGAGGAGGAGTGGATTTAATAGGTGGTCAGCCCAGTGGAAATGTACATGGTCTTAAAATAGGAGAGTGTGTTATGTAAGTGGCTAGTGAGTGTGTGTGTTTGTGTGCGTGCGTGTGTGTGTGAGAATGTCGGTGGGGTTCTGAAGTCATTACATGAATCTTGTCCCCACAATCACACGCACACACAAGGCGAGACAATAAGTCTCTATGTCTTACGCCAACCGCGCTCTTGGCCTGAGTCTGTATCATTCCTCAGCCCGTCGAGGTTCCCACGGCCCATCTCACTCTCTGGAGGTCGCTCTGTGGCCAACAAAAACCGACATCTTTAATATTTCCACTGTCAGCACAGAAATAAAAACAATAACTCAGTCAGTGTCTTTATTTCTTCTTGGAAGTCTTTGGATCAGGAATCGCCAAAATCCTCACCCGATGATGAGTATCTGTTCTGTTTATCGATCCAGTTCTTGATTGATTCCCTTTACTGTGTGGACAGATGAAGAGGAGGATCTCTGCACACCTGATGATGGCAAACTAAAATCAACATGTTTACCTGTTTAAATCCTAAAGTAGCTGGAAGTGTGCACCATCAATCTGCCCAAATCCAATGCTAAATCTCCCCCCCCCCAGATGTTAATCTTAAAGTCAGGACAGGGCATGGTGACCTGAGGTGGATTAAATCCTCAGAGATGAGATTGATGGTGATCTGCAGAGTTGGATACAGGTATCACATTTGGTAAAAATAATAAACTCACACTGCTTTGTTTAGAGGAAAGATTTTAATGCCTCACCACAGAACAAACGTTAAGAGCTCTGACAGATAGATGCACAAGGAAAAAAACACATATGTCTTTTCACACTCCATCTATCTCCCTCAATAATTGATCTTAATGACCACCTGCAGCCAATTGATCATCTCTCCTCCCATCTCCACTGTATCTCCTCTTTCTTACTCCAGTTCTTCAGCTGCTTGTACATTTTCTGTTGCTAATGGCTAAAATATTGCATCGGTCTTGCTTTATTTGGTGTTTTGCTGGAGTATCTGAAGGGTCAGTGTCTCTTACATGTTTTTAGAGTCATGCCATGCATTGATGGAAACTTTGCATGCACATTGGTCAGTTCACATCCCTTATCGAAGATTACGCCCAGGCAGTCGTGACAGCATGAAGTATTCAAGGTCATGTGATGAAAATTCCATCCTCAAATACATATCAATCAGCCCTTGTATTGAACTGTTCATAGACCCTCAATAGTTTGCTGATGACGCTCTGCTCTACCTTGTCTCCAGTGGAGGTTGTTGGAAGTAGAGATGTAAAGCAAAAGCGTTATTTGATATTTACTGGTAGCTATTCAAAAATAATTCCATTATTGTTATTTGCTCTGCATGTCGATCATCAAACTTTGGTAGAAAAAGATCTGCGGACAGCGCCTCACTTTCTGCTGCTGGCCTCGCTCCCAAATGGCTGCGCATACTTCTTGTGAATTTGTGATATGCTAGTTTAACTTTGTAGAGTTTGCACTGCACTTTTTTCGACGGAGCTCCATGCAGAACATTTTGATGACATTTTGAAGTCCCTGCATGTTTCTGCTGTTTGTATGCTTTGTAGAATTAACTTGCGCAACATTTAGTGTTATTATGTTATTTCGAGGTGCCGGTAAAACGCTTTTTTTGTTGTTGTTGTTGCTGTTGTTGTTAAAAACAGAACCATCGGCACGTGAACTGTTTGGTTTTTAAATGTTAATGACTATTTGAATATTTAAAAATCATTGCCAATCCCTAGCTGGAAAATGACCTGGATTTGAATATAATTCGATCTATTCAAAAACTTAAGTCGGTATGAGGTCAGCCCAACATGAAAAAGGAATGTGCAAAGTAGTGCTGGGCGATAGGACGATAGATATCGTGGGCACGATAGAAAATGTCTATCGTGCCATTTTTATCGTTTCGGGCGATAGGCTGTATTTTATCCATAGGGCTTGTGCCATCAGATGATTCATAGTAACAACAACAATAATTGCACATTCAGTAAGTGTATTTGGTGTCGAACGGGAAAGAAAACAATATTTTCTTACAAAGAAAAGGATGCGTTGACATGTAGGCTCGCATTTCTCTTTCGATTTTGCGACATGACGCCGCTTTACGTGCCCTCTTCGTGTCCAGCGTCTCCCGCCGTTGCGGGTTACCTGGGTTACACACGTGAGGGAATCATTGTAAGCAGTGCATAATTTGTGCCGGAGCAAGTCGGAGCGCGATCCGGGACCTCTTTTGATCGAATCCGGGACTTATTTCAGCCGCTCCGGCACCTGTTTCATCTGCTCCGGGACCTTCCCTGTAGAGGATGACATTTTTCGGGAATTCCCGTGGGTCACGTGATTCCCGCGGGAATCCCACGGGATGGGAGTCGTTTTTTAATTAATCCCTTGATCGGGACGGGACGGGAAAAAAAGCAACGGTAGTGGGCAGGAGCGGGAACAACATGAATAGATGATCATTTTCAGCCGTGTTTAACAACCAGATGAACAGGTGCGTCCATTTTTGTAGTCATCTCTCAGTGAGAGCCAACACTCTTGACCGCGCTAGCAACACAAAAGAACTACAACAGTGGTTTGACTTCCTGTCAGCTGGGAGCGCGGCTGCGCATTTCTACCCTTCAAGCCAGCAGCGAGGAAACGTAATTTTGTGACATTCTGTAGTTTTTCAATCATTTCTGGAGTCGTGGCGAATCAAATCACCTTACCTGTCTGCCCCTGATAGGCGAATAAAGCGCTCGGATTCATGCTCGGGTCTTCCTACGTGCTTCAAGAGTAAAGTAAACAATGATGGAGGCAGAGAGCATCTTTGGAGGAGAAACATCTAGCAGTGTGAACAACCTCTTCAAAAGAGCCCTAAAGACCTACCTTTTTAATAAAGCCTTTGGTTAGTTTTCCTCTATGCTTTATGCTTTTACTACCTTGCCTCTTACTTTGCAACTCTATATTCTTTATTTTTTTAAATTCTTTTTTTATGCCAATCTGTGACTGTCATTCTATTGCTTTTTTTATTGTTGCTGCTCTTTTTTTACTGTGTACTGTAGCACTTTGAGATTTTTTATAAATGTAAAGTGCATTACAAATTAAATTTATTATTATTATTATTATCATTATTATTATTATTATTATTATGGGGTGCTTTGGCTCACACTATCGGCGTTTTCTGTGAGTGTTGCATAACTTTGGGTGAGCACAGACATGAACGCACTTCGGCCACGTATTTATTTATTCATTTTTGTAGTTTTAAGTGCTGGTCTTGTACTGGTACTGTACTAGTGCAGCTGTATACACTTAAATTTTTCATAGAACTGAAAGCATACCATAGCTATATCGTGATATATATCGTTATCGTGATATAAAATGATCCATATCGTGATATACATTTTTTTCCATATCGCCCAGCACTAGTGCAAAGTATTGTATTTATGGAAACTGTCTGCACTTTACCGAGTCAGCTGCTGCATGCACCTCGAAGGGTTTCACTGCTCTGTGTGCATGTTTATACCAAGGGGGCCTCTTCATGAGTCAAGTCTGCAAAAGAGGCTTGATTGTTCATTTTGGTAAAGATGTTGACGAGTTCAGACTGTGGGTGAGAATGAAGGCTCAGCAGGTTTTACCGCAAGCTGCACATCTCTTTACCAAAACAGAGAGTTTATCAACCATGTGGAAACAGTCTTTTTCTTTTCTCACACTGTGCTTTTATTTTGAAGGTGCCCCTCAAACAGCTTTAACATCTTTTTTTCCTCTTAATGGTCCAAGAGCATCAACCAGGGTTTCAGGATTTCTCACGTTTAACCCCCCGACATACTAGACGTAACATAACTATCACTGATGACCATGACTGTCTGCAGACTGTCACCAACATAATGAAGTCTATTGTCTCTGAAGCAGGAAATACTTTCTCACACGCACGCACGCACACACAGAAAGGGGAGTGTACTCAGTTTCCTCTAATGTTATCAGTTCACTGTAAAGGAAGTCGGTGATGAAGAAAGATGTCCCAGTGTTTGCGGAGTCATTAACTCATCTGAGGATCATTAGAAAGACTGGAGAAATGGGCGGTTAAAGCACATACACCCAAATAAAGATGGGAAACCACTGACAAGCTTTTTCATGCTGCAGACTCACCAGAAAACGTCATGTTAATCATTTTATTTTGGAAAAGCAACAAAAAAAGTGTTTCGCAAGGAGCAGAGGACAGACGCTACCTCTGGGATAGGTAAATGTTTTCTTATCCATGTGCTGATTTGTTTGGAGTGGTTCAGAGAGTCAGATAGAGATTGAGTGAGACATACAAGGAGTGAAGTTGAAGCGCAGCAGGCTGGCAGATGGAAACAGATAACGATATGACATTTTCCACCGTGACAGACATCTGCTGACTACTAAGTATCTCCCCCCCTGCATCTCGCTCTCCCTTCCTTGGCCATTGTTGGGTGGAAATTTACAGCTTTGGTTGTGTCATTGTGGCTCAGAAAGGACCAATCACAAATTCACATTTGATAGTTTCAAGGAGGAATGAGAGAAGACAGAGGAGTGATGGATCAGGATTTGGTTTTGTCCTACGAATACACAAATCCAGATGATCAGGCTGATTTAGAGTTTAAAGAAAGTCAATGAAGGTCAAATGTTACGACAGGAACAGATGGTTTTTGACACATTAGACTGGGAAACAACTAGGGCTGCACGATATATCGTTTGAGCATTGTCATTGCGATGTATGTGTGCGCAATAGTCACATTGCAAAGCCTCCAATGTAGGAGGCGAATGAACTCATCTAATTTCAAAGGTAGCTGACTTAGGAGCACTGCATGTAGACTCTGCATGTGCTGTGCAGTGATCCACCAATCGCATTCATTCTTTACGCAGTTGCCAATCAGACTCCCCCTGCCAGCCGTCAATCAAAATTTAGGGAGGAGGAAACCACGCCCCTGCACATGGAGTGAGTCGCTGGTGCTGCTGGTGTTGTGTTGAGAAACGAATACCCACTAAGAATTACTCTCTAAACATTTCTTATCACTGTTTAGCCCCACAAATAAGAACTGTATGGGTTTCAAATTGTACATTTCCGTGGACTACTCTACTATAAGCGGTGCACATGTTGCAAGGTGAATGCAATTCTGTACTGGCATCTGTTTCTCAGCTGAATATCGGTAACAACTGCAATGATCGCAAAATGAGTAACGAACAAGAGAAAACCACCAAAGGTGAATACTTGTTGGCAAAAAGAAAAGGAACGTCAGTTATTTGGAATTATTTCGGTTACAAGAAGGATGATGTCGACCAAAACATGTATTCTGTGTTCATCTGTAGCCACAATAACGTCCCAGCACAATAAGAGCTAAAAATATCTCTGAGACAGACAGAAGCCATTCTACTAACATTCACAAAAAGAGGTAAGATCAGTGCAGGTTAACCGTCCACAAGATTTCAGCAGTGCAGCATAGAATAACTTTATATCCCAGGGATGAAAAAATTGCAATGTTCGTTTTTTCCAACATTGTGCAGCCTTAGAAACAATTCTGCACACATCAAACTCTTGTGATCCAGACTGATTCAGGACAGTTGTTTGGAGTTTTTATCACAGCTGTGGCTTTCTGGTTGGGTCATGGTTTTACTAGCGCTCAGGGTTGAGGGAAGCCTAATGAATTCTTCTATATGGCACCACTTTCGTAATAAAACCCTGCAGGTTTAAATCTGTCAACCAAGTTTACGATCATGCGAAGGACAAAATCAGATTGTGGTTACAGTTGGCATGGTTGTGCAGATTTTACTCTAGAGAGTTTGGAAAGTACCAAGGCTGCCAAATGAGATGGATTGAGGGTCGAGACTTTAGAGAGGAAAGGGCAGTGGTCGAGTTACAGAAAATTTGTCAGAGTTTGTCTCTGCTCAGTGACTTTTTCAGAGCACTGTTTACAGTTGTATAAAAAGTTCCAAAATAAGTTAAAATCCTTAGATTTTTCCTGGTATTGTATCAGAGTTTAAATTGTGGTGTGTTGATGACCCGACTCTAAAGCTCGATCTGTGTTTTATGAGTCTGGCTCTTGACTACATGAAAATAAACCCCCTTTTTTCAAGCCTGTTGGCAGTCTGACACTCAGTGGGTTAGACAGTCGTCCTTAAAGTCTGCCTTTGTCTTCTGTGTCTGCAGAATGGCTCAGAAAGAGAAACTGCAGTGCCTGAAGGACTTCCATAAGGACACCCTGAAGCCATCCCCCGGCAAGAGCCCCGGCACCAGGCCTGAAGACGAGGCAGAGGGCAAACACCCACAGCGGGAGAAGTGGGCCAGCAAGCTGGACTTTGTTCTGTCCGTGGCTGGCGGCTTTGTAGGTTTAGGGAATGTTTGGCGTTTTCCGTACCTCTGCTATAAGAACGGTGGAGGTAAGATGATGCTGAGTTTTAACAATTTCATTCCCCATCATGTCATCTTTCTTCAACATTTCACCATCCTAATTCCTCCCCTCTCAGGTGCATTTCTCATCCCCTACTTCATCTTCCTGTTTGGCGGAGGTCTGCCGGTCTTCTTCCTGGAGGTCGCCCTGGGTCAGTTCACCTCTGAGGGTGGCATCACCTGCTGGGAGAAGCTCTGCCCCATCTTTACTGGTATGTAACCCTCATACATTTATAACTGCTCTGTGGGCAAACATTGTGTTGTATACTTAGTGTGAAGAAGCAGAAGCCAGCGTATCGACAGTATCTAAGGTGTGTCTCGTCTCTTGTGGGCTCTGGGGCTCGGCTCCTGGAAACCACTCCCTCAGTACTATGGAGACAGGGTCTACAGACACGTGCTTTCAACTAATACCCAGGGAGCAGAGTGGTGCATTTAGCAGCTAAAGAGCAAGTTATTTCCCGGAGGAACCAGAGGAGATCAATTATAGATAAACAAAAGGCGGAGTATTGAACACTGGGGTGAACTGTGCGTCTAAATCAATCATTCAATGTTGTGGAGTAAATGCTGGATGAGTAAACAAGCAGGAGGTTACTAAAACTGGTGATTTACAAAAATTCCAGACCAGATGTTTTGATCATCACTGGTTAATGAACATGCTGGTTGGAGGTGCAGCTGATTTCAATAATCAAATCCAAACAGAGTTTTCAGTTCTGATTATTGATGAATTTCTTTTTTGCTCTCCCTCTGCTCAGTCCATCGGTCTCTGTAAAGTTCCCTTTCAGTCCATTCACTCGGTACAACACATAAAGTATGGGATATCACGCCCTCGCGTGGCCTGACTGAAGACACCTTTATTCACGCCTTAAAGGCAGATGATCTGTGGTGACGTCTGGGAGGCTCTACCTGCTCTTACATACGTGTAACACCACAGTCATCCTTCAGTTCTTACGCTCTTCACCTCACTGAGAACACCTCCACCGGGTCGGGTTAACTAGCTGCTGCTAGCTTATCCTGGTCTTGTCTGTGGCTACTGCCTGATCGATTTTAGCTTAACTCCCCCTGTTGGTGTTAGCCTGCGGCTACCCGCGGAGCACTAATTTCGTTCAGCTTCTGCGTCTTGTAATGAGCGCTGAGCTCATGAAAGTGAAGGTGAAGTCTTCTGTTCGCCCCTGTCCTCATGGAGATCTTTCTCGTGAAGGGAGAAGCCGCACCCCTGAGGCTTGTCCCATTTGCCTGGGGATTGTCCACGCCAGGAGGGCGTTGACTGAGCCCGAGTCCTGTCACTGGCTTTGGAGCTTAACCCTGGGAAGGCGGGTCAAGTTTGTGGAGAAAATACTAGGAAAAACTGCTGTTGTGCTGCACGATCCCCTCCTCTCTGAGTCCCGGGACCCGGCTTCGTCCGAGTCTGGTGGTGAGGACTTTCTGGTTGAAGGCTCAGGTGGAAACTGGGCAGACCATGTGGAGTGTGCCAACGGGTCAGCTAGATTTGAGCCGGGCTCCTCCGAGGGCGCTGGCAAGCCGCTATCCGGGCTAGCTTTTTACCAGGAGGACATCGGCCTGGACGTGCAGGGATTTTCAGAGGGTGAGCAGGAGCCATTGTCTTCGGGTCAGTATGCCGCTGCTGCTGCTCTGGTTGAGCTGGACGACACATCCTTCCTCTCACTCTACTGCCATGCAGCTGAGAAACTGGAAGTAGAATGGCCCTCTCCTCCACCGGCTCAAAAACCATCGCGGTTCTCTGTTTTTTTTCTCCCACCTGAACTGATGACTGTTAAGAACAGTTTGCCCATGTTCCCGGATTTTGTCGTGGAACTAACCTCGACATGGAACAAGCCGCTGTCCACCCGCGCCACAGTGCCCGGTTGTGGACAGTTTCTGGATCTGGAGGGAGCTGAAAAAGCTGGTTTGGTGAACCCTCCGCCTATGGAGGCGTCCCTGGCAGCCTATCTGGCCCCGGACGAAAATAATGGTGTTGGTAGCCCCATCATGCTCCCATCCAAGGTTTTCAGCGCAGGTTTTTGCTGCAGGTTTTCAGCGTCACAGCTGGATAAGATTTACAGGACACAGGCTAGTACAGGCCATGCACTGTGCTCTGTCACCATGCCTCAGACATATCAGGCTATGTGTCTGGCAGAACTCGGCTCGCGTATGCCTCCTGACAGTCCGCTTTCTCCTCTCCTCAATGAGGTTAGGGTCGCCACAGATAACATTCTCCGTGGGTCCCGCTGTGTAGTGCTCTCTCTAGGTAGAGGCATGGCTTCCACGGTGGTGGCGCAGAGGCACCTGTGGCTGACTCTCTCCGACTTTCCGGAGAGGGACAGAGCGGTCTATCTTGACAAGCCTGTGTTGGCCAGCGGTTTGTTTGGGCAGTCCTTTCAACGCCATTCAGGCTAAGTTTGAGCTGAGGAAGAAACAAACTGAAGCTTTGAGAAGCATCATCCCCAGGCGTGATGCGTGGCCCAAACAACAGGGTTATCTGCACAAATCGGCACCAGCACCTCCCCCCAACAGGATTGCAGCACCCACCAGTTTGGGGCCCCAGCCGGTGAAGCGGCATGTACCCGGTCAGAACCCACGCCCCTCGGCTTGGAACAAGGGTCCGCCACTGAGCCACCGAGGGCAACAACCCCTCCCCCACAGTGCTGGAGGTCAGTCGACTGAATGTTCATCTCCCTCGGTGGCACGCATGCGCAGTCTCACCATGGATTGAGAGAACCGTTGCCATGGGCTACCGCTTACAGTTCAGGGCCCGGCCGCCTTGCTTCCACTCTGTAATACACACAGTTGTACCAGAGGAAGCAGCAGCAGTGCTGAGGGAAGAAATAAACAACTTGTTGAACAAGAGAGCAATAAGAGTTGCTCCCGCTTCGGAAACGAACATAGATTGGTACAGCCGTTATTTCGTTGTTCCGAAAAAAGGATGAGGGCTCCGTCCTATTCTAGACTTGTTTTAAACAAATACCTACGAACTTACAGGTTCAAGATGCTAACACTCAGACAGCTACTGGGCACGATCAGACCGGGAGATTGGTTTACAACTATCGATCTGACAGATGCTTACTTTTACGTAGCGATATATCCGCACCACAGGCAGTTTCTAAGGTTTGCATTCGAGGGCATAGCCTACGAATACCTGGTGCTGCCATTCGGCTTATCACTCGCCCCCCGAACATTCACCAAATGTGTCGAGGCGGCATTGGCTCTGCTACGGGAGAAAGGTGTTCGCATTTTAGCCTATCTAGATGATTGGGTGCTAATTGCAAGCTCCAGAGAGCAAGCAGCGGCTTAGCTGTCATTGACCCTATCGCACATCCAAACACTAAGCTTTTCGGTTAATATACAGAAAAGTTCACTGACTCCGAGTCAAAAGGAATCATTTCTCAGGTTGGAAATATGCTCCGTTTTAACCCGAGCACGTCTGTCAGAATGCAGGGTGGCTGCGTTTCGCCGCTGACTTGCACAATTTCAATTGGGACGCAGACTGTGTTTCTGGACAATTTTACAGCTGACAGGCATGATGGCATCTATGATCGCTGTCGTGCCACTCGGACTGATAAAAATGAGAGTGTTTCAATGCTCCGGGGGGGGGGTCCTCTTGTGAGAGAGTGGAGATTGCACCCACTAGTGGTGGCTCAGATATGGGACTGCCTCGGCAGGGCAGAAGTAGATCATTTTGCCTCCAGAGCAAATACTCATTGCCCCCTGTTCTTTTCCATAACAGGCTGCAATGCTCCCCTGTGAATGGATGCGCTAGCTCATCCATGGCCCTGGTGGTTCCTCGCTGGCCGGCAAAGTTGTGGTACGCAGAGATAATCAGGCAGCGAGGCCCTGGCAGCTCCCTTTTTGCAGGGATCTCCTCTCTCAGAACTGTGGCGACTACATGCTTACCTGTTGAAAGGTCCAACTTAATAGCCCAGGGTCTGCCCCCAAATGTGGTGGCAACAATCCAGAGGGCATCATCTACTTGGGGCCTATATGCCTATAAATGGCGGGCGTTTGAGCAGTGGTGTCAGGACCGAAATGTATTCTTATTTCAGAGTTCTATTGTGGATGTTTTAACATTCCTTCAGGACCTGCTGGATAGGGGTCTCTCTTTCTCAACAATTAAAGTCTATTTTGCGGCTATATCTGCATGCCATGTTGGCTTTGATGGTGTGACGCCAGGCACTCACCCTACTTCTATGTGCTTCCTAAAGGGATTCCGCAGGCTAAGATCTGTTCTTAAACCCAGTTTTCCCTCATGGGATTTAGGGCTGGTGCTTGAGGCTCTTGGTGGACCCCCATTTGAGCCTATTGAGTCAGCAGACATGAAATTTCTTTCATACATACAAGACTGCACTACTACTTGCTTTGACGTCTGCAAAGCGAGTGGGCGACCTTCATGTTTTGTCTGTGCATCCCTCTTGTACCCAGTTCACTCCGGATGGATCTAAGGTTACATCTGGGGATAAGATTATCCCCACAGCCTATAGCTCTATGAGTTTTGAGCTGCTGAGCTTCTGCCCCCCTCCATTTGCATCTGAGGAGCAGAGGACCTTGCATCCCTTGTGTCCTGTGTGTGCACTACGCACTTACATAGACCGCACTCAGAGTGTGCGTTTATGTGACCAGTTGTTTGTCTGTTTTGCTAATCCAGCCAAGGGGAAGGCGCTGTCTAAGGGGCGGCTTTCCCACTGCATTGTGGAGGCTATCTCCTTAGCATACAGCAGCAGGGGTCTCCCGTTGCCCCAAGGTTTGAGGGCACATTCAACCAGGGTAATGGCGGCCTCTTGGGCCTTGTTTCAAGGGGTTTCCGTGGGTGATATCTGCACGGCAGCCAGTTGGTCATCACCGCACACTTTTGTTCGGTTTTATCGTTTGGATGTGACAGCACCTTCAGTGGCTCACTCTGTCCTTTCTGCTGGGTCTACAATGCACTAAAAGTTTTGGAGGTTTTACTTCGGTTCGGTGGCTGCTCTGCGGGGCGTGTATATATGTCCCATACTATATGTGTTGTACTGAGTGAATCGACTGAAAGGCAACGAAATGTTATGAATATAACTTCTGTTCCCTGAAGGAGAGGAACGAGGTACAACACTGGGTTGCCCCACTGCGCGGCAAGGCTCAGTGAAGAGCGGCTATCGAAATGAAGGATGACTGTGGTGCTACACGTATATATGTGCAGGCGGAGCCTCCCAGACGTCACCAGACATCGCCTGCCTTTAAGGCGTGAATAAAGGTGTCTTCAGTCAGGCCACGCGGGGGCGTGATAGCCCATACTATATGTGTTGTACCTCGTTCCTCTCCTTCAGGGAACAGAAGTGATATTCATAACATTTCGTTTCTTTGAGTTTAAATGCAGTTGTCAAACCTGCTTAAAGCTGAAATACTGCCACCTATTGGTCTGGAAGAGTACATCTTTGTAACGCAAACTTAATGAAATCAGAACCATGGTGTGAGGACACGCCCCTCACATCCAAATATTCTCAGTGATATTTTAATCATGTGAAACAGTTGGAGTCCACTCTTCACTGTAGTCAGAGAGGTGGTTCTCACACACCTCGGTGTCTCCTCTAATGATGGGCAGAGTTTTTTCCTGCCAAGCTACCAGCTTTAAATTTTTCCAGACCTCTGTTGTTTTTCACAGAGGAATGGCTGTGCAACATAAGGCTGAGTCACACCAGACTCTCCACCAATCAGACGGCTGAGACTTTACCCTGCAACCGTTACCAGGCAACCAGACCTGCTCTGGTACACCAACACACTGAGGCCTCCATTCTGCTCAACCCTTCTGCAGCTCAAATCTTGTCTCCTGTGAAAACGTTCTCTCCACCAAGAAAGAGCATTTCGATTCTTCCACGTCTCCTCCTCACAGCATATGGGATCAGACACAGACCCATTTTCTGTCTTTTCGTTTCTGTTCCTTCACTTTCTTTACCATACTTCCCCTCCTGGGCTCTTTTTTTAATTCCTCCATCATTTCTTCTCTCCTTCTGTCTGCTCCCACCTCAATAAGGTTAACATTTTCCTCTCTCTTAAATCTCTACTTTTTTTTTCCTTTTTTAAATGCACTCACATTAATATCTATATTTCAATATTTAGAAACCGTCTTTCTTTTCTTTCAGACGCACCTCCCCGCCTTGACTCGCTCACACACACAGACACACACACACACACACACACACACACACACACACACACACACACACACACACACACACACACACAAGACGGTGTACAGAGTGTCCCAAATCACATGTTGCTACAGCAACAGCGCAGCAACACATCAGAGAGGGATGGAGAGAGAGAATGATAAGACAGAGAGATCAGAGGCACAGGGAGATGGGCTGATAAAAAAGAGAGAAACTGGGGGAAACAAAAGCAGGGATGGAGAGGAGTGGCATAAAGGGAAGAGAAAAACAAAAAGAGGATGGAAATAAAAGGAAGCAACAACAACAGCAACAGAGTGAGAAATAGAGTGAGATTTACAGGAGGCAGGATGGAGGAAACGAGGAGGAGAGAAAGGAAACAAGGAGGGAAACAAAGCATTAACAGACAACAGTTATAATAGGAATGAGTGAATCAGGTGACCGCCAAGTGAGTAGGGTGTGTTTAGATGTACAAAAGATAATGAATAAAAAAGATAATGCATAGAAAATGTACCAAGCTGAACAAAGTGCACTTTATTTACAAATTCTACAAATAAATGCATCTTTGTAATGACCATATGATCCTTCCCCTTTCTGTTTATGTGCATATGTGAAAAGGCTGAGGGAGGGAGAGCAGCAGCAAAGACCCCCCCCCCCCCAAGGGTAAAGACATACGCAGGCTTCAGTGACAATCCACATGACCTAAAATCTGACATCATTAGAAGAAGGAGCTTGGAAGGAGGTGGGGAGAGCAGCAGCAAAGGACTTGGAGGTCCAGAACAGAGATGTAGGCGGGCCTTAGCAGTTTAAGTAGAACTCACATCTGGACTTGTCCAAATTGAACATGAGGGAAGTTGGTGAGACGATCAGGTAGGGCCGGGCAATAAAACAATAACGATATATATCGAAAATTAATTAACCTCTATATCAATATAAAACACAGTCAATATGCTTTTTGATAGTCTGCCATGTTTTGGTAGACTACATGAACAACCAATGAAAAGGGGAGTTTCTCCGTGCTGAACCAATCATGTGGTGAATTAGAACCAAGTAGCAAACAACTGCATAGTAGCAGGCTGCAGCTACACGCAACCATAGCACTTTAACACGTGAAGCTGACAGCACTGTTGGTGAAAAATGCAGATGAAGGTTTAACTGGCACCAAAACGTCTGTGTAGAGGTTTTTTTTGTTGAGGTCAGACATGGAGCAGAGTAATGTGCACTGCAAATTATGTTGAGTACATGTTCTCGCAAAGTCGGGGAATACCTCCAATCTTTTACACCACCTGGAGCGGTGCCACGCGGCAGAGCAGGCGCAATGCAAAAGGTTACAAACCCGAGCGGAGCACGGAGCCCATGGCGCCTGTGCAGCCGACCATTCAGTCCGCTTTCTCTAGCGCAACGCCTTACGACAAAACGTCAGAGACACAAAGACCTCACAGATGCAGTAGCTTTTTATATTGCAAAAGACATGCTACCAATAAGCACCGTTAAATTATTTTTTTTATACTGTGATATGTATCGATATCATCTGATATGAAAAAATATATATCGTGATGAAAGTTTCCCCATATCGCCCAGCCCTACTATCAGGTACAGCGCACAGCTGATGTTTGACTTGCTTTGGCAGTTTCTCTATCTGACAGGAAACAATTTCAGGGATGATTGTAACCCACGTGAGAGAATATAGAGCCACATGGTCAAAGTCATACAAGAAACACACTGTGGACTTTGGTCCTGCTTCTTAACACTGCTGTCCATTTGAAGAAAGACTCTTCAGGTGCTCCCTCAGGTCCTCATTTCTGCCCTGAAAAGAGAATTATAGTTTTATCATTCACTTTTGTTTTCAGGCAGTTAAGAGTTTATAATTTATTCTCCCAAATGGACTTAATATGTCACATGTCCCAGTTGCAGCAGACTTTATCATCCCAGTGGGGATCATCATGTCATGTGCTCAAACACAGTTTCACAGTGTATTTGTGAAAATATTGATTCTTAATGCAAATAGACAACACAGGGAGGTCAGCTGAGGTCAGGGGATGAGGACAAAAATGACATCATGGAGGAGAACACATCTGTTTGTTTGATCAGCACTGTTCCATGTGATCCGTGTGTATGTGTGTGTGCGTGTGTGTGCATGTGTGTGTGCGTGTGCGCGCGTTAAAAAGATGGAGCAGTGAAAAAGATTTCACATTCTCTCACACACACACACACACACACACACACACACACACACACACACACACACACACACATATACAGATGGCCTATGACGTTGAAGGACATTAATTTGGATGAGTGGTCTCAGCAGCAGTGTGTGTCCACTGACAGTACACATACTCTCTCACACACTCCAGTCCTACTAATAAACTTATGAGTACATTCAGGGATCACAGTCATGACAAAACCTCAAACTTAAAATCTCATTCATCTTCTAATCTGCACCCAAATCCTGACTCCTACACCCGCCCCTGTTAAAAGGGATTTTCTTATCTCTGTATCCATGTTAAGGACACACACACATGCACACACTCACACACACACACACAGGCACGCACATGCAGTGGCTTTGTGTCAAGGTCAGTATTGATGCAGATCCTCAAACCTGGTTTCCAAGTCTTAGATTAGATTATAGATTTTATTTCGGTCATAATACAAAATAAACAGAAAAGAACAAGGCAGGTAAGACATATACATATGTATATATATATACAGTATATACATATATATATATATATATATACGGTTTACATGATTGTTTGACCGAAAAGGTTTAGGGCTGAAGCCGAAGCTTAAAGTCCTTCAAACTAATGAAATAATCCAGTTTAAGGTGACCCTGAAGCTCAGACTGAGACGACATCCACCAAACCTGGCCCCCTGCTTTCATCAGATACATCATAAGCTTTGACGTCTTCTTTTCTGGCCAATCAAAACTCAGCAAAATGTTATTATTTTGACACAAACTCTCTTTCTCTCTCTCTCATCCTCCAGGTATTGGTTACGCCTCCATTGTGATTGTGTCCCTGCTGAATATCTACTACATCGTCATCCTGGCTTGGGGCCTTTACTATCTGTTCCAGGTCAGTCAGAGAAAGTGAACTGGTTCAAACTGAACCCTAAACCCCTCCTTCCTCCCTCTGACTTTATTTATGCCTGTCCCGAACTTTAGAGTTAATTCAGAGTTTTATAGATATGCCAGTGACGCAGAAACTAAAGGTCTTCCTCTTGTGTGTTAGGGTCAGACGAAAGATTACAAACAGAGTAATTCATTCAAGAGGTTTAGCCCTCTGAGAGAGACTACATGAGCTATCAGTTCAACAGTTTAAGAATAAAGTTCCTGAGTGGATTTCATCATCTACAGTACATAATATCATTCAAAGATTCAGAGGATCTGGAGAAACAAGGACAAGGACCAAAACCAGGACTGGATGGTCCTAAACTTCAGGGCATTAAAAACAGACAGGACTCTGGAGTGGGAATAACCGCATGGAAATGATAACTGGACTTACTTGAGACGTTTAAAACATCTCAAGTAGGTCCAGTTGTCATTTCAACGAAGAATTGGAAATCATATATGCTGCATCCTTAGTTTTAATCACTGCATGGACTCATGGGGGGCGGGGTACGTTCTTTAGGCATATTCACAAGAACATGAGCAACCTAAACTCTGTAAAACCAAGTGCAAGAAAGCTGTGTTCCTTGATTCCCTGTTTTATTTGGGACTTAGACATAAAATCATCTTTTCAAAACAAAAACCCTCATTAAGTGATTTTAAGTGGTGGTTAGAGTGTTTACTGGAACTGTCAGGACCTCTGCTACCAATCATGATCCAAATCCTAATTGTTTCTCTGTTGTAACTCCATCTTTTTATGGTTTCAGTGTTTTCAGCCAGAGCTGCCCTGGGCCAAGTGCAATCAGCCCTGGAACACCGACCGCTGCATCGAGGACACCTACCGCAAGAACAAATCCCTCTGGCTGGCCGCCAATGCCTCCAACTTCACCTCCCCCGTCACTGAGTTTTGGGAGTGAGTTACAAAAAAAAACATACGTGCACAGTTGTGTAACCAAGCATGCGACTTTTTTTCATGTGGAAAGTTTGGTTAAGGTGCAGCGTCCTGGTAGATGACCTGGTAGGAAGATGGAAGTGCTGAATTTTGAGGCAATCCAGAGAGGGTTGATTTCTTTCAATTTGGTTTGCTGGCAGTGGTTAAGACAAAAAAAAAGTGCCCTAAAACATTTGGAAAAGACAGCGACTGGGGGGTTTACTATGTTTAAAATCTTGTTTACTTAGCAGACTGTGTTGTGAGAGGTGTTTGGTGCTTATGAAATCAGTGATCCTGCATAAAAACACCCTCCTGCAGAGCATCAACTGTCTTTGAATCATTGAAATGATCGTGGAGGGTTGATTTGCAGAAATCAACTCGCTCCCTGACCCTGCTTCTCCTTTATTTTGCAGACATAATGTGCTTGGTATCACTGGTGGTATAGAGCAGATGGGTCCTGTTAAATGGGACCTGGCTGTGTGTTTACTGCTTGTTTGGGTCATCTGCTTCTTCTGCATCTGGAAAGGAGTCAAGTCCACTGGCAAGGTAAATATTTATCTGTGTCTTCCTCTGCTTTCCTTTGTTTACTGTCATTCACATAGTTTTTTCTTGTATAAGACTGATCCTATCAAAGTTTCTGATTCCTCTTAAACTTGCTGAACTTCCCCTTTTCTCTGAAAGTTTTATCTCTTCTTACTCATAATGCCTGCTTGAATTATGACAGGCTGATGGTCATATGATGTTGTCACTCCAGCCAGAACAACAGGGGTCCGTTTCACATAGCAGGTTTAGTGGAAACTCTGAGTTTGTTAACCCTGAAATCAGGGAAACTCTGAGTTTTCCGTTTCACAAAGGAGGGTTAGTTAAACCAGGGAGAGAGGGGTAACTCTAACCTGTTTCACAAAGAGAGGTAACTCAACCTCGCGGTCAGTTACCACAGTAACAGACTCCGTGAACCTAACCTGCTCGGGAGCAGGTTTAACTCAGTAAACCCAGAGTTTCAGGTGAGACATCGGCATTTTCTCATTTTGATCATGTTTTACATTGTCAAGTAAGTATTAAGTGGCAGTTTGATCCCTTAAAAAATTATCTTTTCACACTCAAAACTGAATTTTACTCTCTTATTATGTTCTCCCCCCCCCCCCCCCCCCCCCGTTCGACGATCGCGGCCGGTCCGATCGCAAATCCCCCCCCCCCCCCACAGACACAGACACACACACACACACACGCACACCAGTCCGACGATCGCCGCTACGGGGTGGGGGTTGCGATCGTCGAGGGGGGGGCAGCTCCTCTGCCTCTGTTAAAGGTGGAGCTGCTGGGCCACCACCCGTTTTTCTGGCATCTGCCCTCTTTCTGTTTCCTGAGTGAAAGTCTAATATTGAGTGTAGTGTGTGTTAGTTTAATATATGTACATATACATACTGAGAGTTAGTTTAATATTCCTAATCATTTAACGGAACATCATAAGAGAGTAAAATTCATTTTTGAGTGTGAAAAGAGCATTTTCTAAGGGATCAAACTGCCACTTAATACTTACTTGACAATGTAAAACATGATCAAAATGATTCAAGCAGTTTCCCTGCAACAGTCTGTCATTGTGATTGCACGAGACTAGATTTAAAGTTACGCATTGACGCGAGCAGCGATTTCCTCCCAAGCCCTCTCCCTCTCCTTTGCAGCTGCTGCTGTATTGAACTTTCTTTTACAAACGTGCTGTAATTCGCTGTTGGCTTGCTGCTGCCCCCTCCTTCTCCCTGTTTCCATTGGTTGATCAATGAATCTGCGCTCCACAGATGCTGGCTGTTTATGTCTGGCGTGCACGTGCTTAACTCCAGGTCAAACTACTCGGAGTTGTTAAAACCGTCTCAAATCAGGTATTGTGAAACCGGAAACTCAGAGTTTCCTAACTCAGAGTAGATCAACTCAGAGTTAAGGATTTAACTCAGAGTTTGTTGAACCACCTACGTGAAACGGACCCCAGGAGTAATGTTGGAATCTGGGAGGGCCGAGGGCTGCTGCAAGTGCATGTAGTGTTATACTGATGAACCCCGAATGAAGTCAGGTTAAACTGAAATGGGAACAAAAAAAAAAATCATTTTCGGCCACAACGTCGAAAAGAATTGAATCTGAAATGAAATTGTTTGGTAAGACCATATGAATTTCAGATTTACACATATTTCCGTGTCAGGAAATAACTGAATCCCATCAAGGCAACATCTGGTTTCACTTTGCTGTACTTCCTCTCAGGGCTTGGCAGCAGCATTGCAACATAGGGGTAAAGCTCTCTCATATATCGTATAAATTAAGACTTCTTGAAAGCTAGTGAGGGTGTGACATTCTTAGAAGTTTGAAACAGTCTTGATCCTCACAAAGATTCATTGTGCTTTCTTCTGTTTGTAAATGAGGAACTGCTAAGCGTCTTCACCATATGACACATCCTTAAGTCACATGACCACATTCACACCACTGACAGGGACCATCCACAATCGCCAACACTGCATTTACACACTGAGATTGGCAGCAATCCGGTGTTCGATTTGCCAAATACTTTTGCATCTAAACTGTGGGAGCAGAGTTCAAGCTGGCAACCTTCCCACTAAGAGATGACCACCTCCACCTCTGAGCCACGGCCCACTGAGTAAACATGTCTCAGGGAAGCTGTTCCTAAAGTGACGTTTTGAAGCCATAAAATGGCCATCACCAAACTGGGAATGTCTGGTTGTCAGTCAAGACAGCCACGCACCAAATCATGCAAACCTTGTAACCTTCAGAATTGGCGAGTTTGAAAAAATTTTACAACTTAAAAAAAATTATTTTATAACTTTAGAAATGGGGTTGTCAGACTGTAGCCTTTTTGCCTTCCTGGCTGTACATGTGTATTTTAACATGGGATGTAAGTGGTCCCCCCACTGCTTTTGGAGAAAGCCTCAAGTGGACATTTGAGGAACTGCAGTGTTTTGTTTTTTGCATTGGCTTCTTCTCACCGCTTGCCCTCTCCCTCTATGATAATCTGGAAAAGCTGAGCTAACCAACTATTTTAATTTAAAATAAGAAATAAAAGGAGCAAATAAAAAGTATACTTTTATTGAGAAACTCCTTTAACAAAGCCATCATGTTGTCTAACGCTGGTTTGTTGAAGTCCTGTGTTTGGCATTATGATCACCGCTGTGCATTGAGGGATCTTATCAAAATTTAAGCCCGATATTATACCGCTTCAGTTTAACAAGATATTTGAAAGATTTTAAAGTCACATAATTTAATGCCTAACAATACCTGTTATTGTATTATTTTATTGGGAATCAGCAGGTAATTAGAGATTTACAAGGTTTTCACGGCTTTACATCCAAGAACCAGGGCAGAGGATTCATGCACTGATACTCGTCATTAAGTATTGACTGATGGATGGGGCTGTTAATGCATGTTAAAGGACAATATTTAAGACCCTGTTCAGTTGCTGCTTCAACATTAACAACAACAACTCACACACAGACTGGAGGCCGCTCAATCAATCCCAGACAGCTCTTTTTGTAGCCTCAACACTCTGTATTGATTGTCCAAGCCTGATTTATGCTTTTTGGTTGCTCCGAGCTGTAACTCTTGTAATAAAGTTGCTCCTACAAGGCCAAGTGCTGTCACCGCTCCCTAAATAACACAGACTGATACACAGCTATTGATTGAAGCAACATACTATGGTCTTGGAGCTCAGGATCGAAAAATAGCCCCCAGAGTTAACAAATTTATCTGACATAATCTCCCTCCATGACAAAAGAAGTATTTTCAAGTTGGGGAAATAACAAATCAGATTCTTTCTTTGTGTTGAGTCATTTCCAGAACTGGAGCTGATCCAGCCTTTAGAGGTTTACTCTGTGGAGTGACACTGACTGGTGTTGTTCTGTTTGTGGTCCTCCTCAGGTGGTCTACGTCACTGCAACGTTCCCATTTGTCATGCTTATCGTGCTGTTGATTCGTGGTGTGACACTGCCAGGTGCTGCTGAGGGCATCAAGTTCTACCTGTACCCTGATCTTGCTCGCCTGAAAGACCCAGAGGTAGGTACCCCTAGACTGTTTGGGTTCCCATTTCATCGTTGGGTTCCACCAAGTGGTCCAATCCAGTTTGGTTTGGTGTGGTGCACAATTATAGTGTGTTTCCACTGTCAAAAGTTAGGTCAAAACCAATCTGCACCGTCCCTGTCATGCCTGCAGAACCCTTGCATGTAAGGTCGGCTCTAGAAACACATGCAAGACAAGGATTTACTGCACTGAGCCATACCACACTGTCCTGGACTAGACTGGACCATTTGCTGGAAATGGCAATCTTATGACAAAGGATCACAGTGCTTGTACACTGACAGTCTAATTAGCAAACAATGGTTTAGTCCACCCCTCATACCGGACATCTGATTGGACATTTTTCAGTACTTCTGGTCTAGTTTCCCTCATCAGCAGGCCTCAGCCTTTCTGTCCCCACTTTCTCATTCTTGCTTGGTAGGTCTGGATCGATGCTGGCACCCAGATCTTCTTCTCCTACGCCATCTGTTTGGGCGCCATGACATCCTTGGGGAGCTACAACAAGTACAAATACAACTGCTACAGGTGAGGCGTCAGCTTTTAGTGAGGAGGTTAGCTATAGTGACGGGATCCTTGTGTGTTCATTAACAAATCCTCCTCATGACATATGTGTGACATAGGGACTGTTTGCTGCTGGGAGCCCTCAACAGTGGTACCAGTTTTGTGTCTGGCTTCGCAATATTTTCCGTCCTGGGCTTCATGGCACAAGAGCAAGGGGTGGACATTGCTGATGTGGCAGAGTCAGGTACGAGGGTCCTGTAAGGGCGGCAGTGATGGTGGGCGCTGCTTCCTGGTTAAAAACTACAAAAAAAAAAACAAAAACAAAAAAAAAACAGTATTTACAAAGAAAAACAGCAACGAAACCGAAAGAGCGAATTCACAAAGTTATTCAAAATGGATCCCTTGACTGATTTCAAATGAAGGCATCGCATTATGGAAGTTTCCGCAATCAAACACACCTTGACAAAAGCAGAGTGAGAGTGCATTTTTATTGGTTGGCTGTTTCAGCATAAAGGCAGTTTAAGAACGACTCTTTAAAAAAGTGACAGTTTATTCTTTGAATTAGGTAAAATGTCGATATGCAGAGCGTCTTGTGCCAGGGGTCGAGTTCGAGTTCGAGTTCTATTGAGTTCTATGCTGAAGGTTCTGTTTGTTGGTTCTGAGAGGCTCCTCGTTGCTTCGTCTAGGAGACAAACGGGCTTTGCCTTTGTTGTGGCTCCAGTGCATTTGTGCGAGACATTGGCAATATTTTTGTGTTTCTGAGTCCATGGACCTGAGACATACAGATGTATAGAGTTCAGGTGGAAGTTTTAGCCTGGTTTATGATAAAGCCACACATCAGAAGATAAAAACGGAGAAGTGGAAGTTATTTTTGGGGCTTGTTGGGAAACTTTTGCTGTCTTCTGTGGATATATTGCTTTCACACTCTAAGGACATCCTCTCGGACAAAGAGAATTAAACCTTTTAATTTTTCCTCCCATCAAAACAATAATACTATTAAGGCCAAGTCTTTCGTAGCACCGTGAGCTAACTTCAAGCTCTGCTAATGCCCAGATGATCTCTTCATTCAGTACCAAACAAAGGTTTGACAATAGAGGACAACATCAGTGCTAGGTCAGGGGATTGACTTGATATAAGGACTTTAAAGGGTCTAGACAGAGCACAGCAGTCTTGCTCAGTCGAGAACATTTTCCATTGAACACAGTTTGGTTTTTCCAGTTGATTGTAAACTCAACTTTTCTAAAGTGCAGTTTTTACGTCTTCTATAGACATGAAAAATAATTCCTACATTGTTTGAAGAGGAATCTGTCTTTAGCTACAGTTTTCAAGATTTGGTAAAAAGACATTTGGAGACCAGATATTACATTATTTTAAAACCTGGGTCCTTGTTTTATATTTATGGATCCAAATTTTTTTAAAAAGTGAAAACATTTTGGCATTGCTCCAGTAGATTTTTCAGCCAACAGCCAGAAACAGGCCGCAATGTAATCCCGGGGTGCAAACACACCCTGAAAGTGCGTGTTGAACCAGTGACAGGCTCCGATTGTGTTGTATTGTTTGACACATTGTGGTCCAACACGTCAGACAAAGTGTACCTGTTTTCTATCAAAAATAACTACGTCTAGTGTTGGTGTACTTGCCTGAAGGATTCAGTCACAGCCATTTTTTCTGTTAAACTTCAGGTGGCTGAAATCACCTCCTAGAACAATGCCAAAACGTTTGCACCTGTCAGTTTCAGACAAAAGTGAGCACAGGTTTAAGAACAAAGACATAACTCTTTATTCCTCTGCTAGCTTTCGAGTCTGTAGGACTGGAAGTTGTCAGAGTTTTGAGTCAACGCGGTGTTTGGTTGGATGCCTAGTCACAATTTGCCACAAAAAGAACATATTTACACACCTTGGTATCAGCTGTGATGCCTTCCTGTTTCTTGACCTTTGTTTTTTCCTAATTTAGCATCATTTAAGAGATTGCATCTGCTGCTGTTTTGTAAAGGCCATTTTGCATTACTCATCAAAAGGATCAAAAGGATAAATCAGCAAGGGATACAAAGAGGCTGGAGTAATGTAGCTTAGCATGCTAAGTATGACATTACTGCATCATTGTTTCCCTTAATCCAGAGTTTTGGGTAACTTGACTCCATGCAACTCATGTACTGTACTATTTCCAATACACACAAATACACACACATGCTGTGTATGCATCCATTTACAGTGTGCTCAGTAATGTTATCATTTCTTGGACAGACATTCAGTTACACAAAGAGTATTTCACATTTCATACAACCTCGATTCCAAAAAGGAGCCATGAGTCTTTATACAAACAAATTTGATGGTTTACTAATCATGTACAGCTCCTGTCTGATAAAGAATAGTGCAAAGATGAAATATGAAATGTTAAAAAAATAGATGTTTATTAAAATATGAAGCCACATTAGAAAAAAAGTCTTGACAGGAACAACAAACGTAAAAAGTTGTGTAATGCCTTTAAAAAAACAGCTGGAGAAACAGCGTCTAACCAAGGAGGTTAAGTTCCAACAAAACAGATATCTTCAGGCCCAGTTCCAGAGTCCTGTCTGTGTGACGGACAGACAGGACTCTGGAGTTGAAATCACAGCATGGGCTCTAAACCTCTTTCAAAAACCATTGACTGTTGACACAATTTATCACTGCATCCACTAATGAGGTTCAAACTGAACCATCAAAGAGGAGACCAGATAAAACCAGGATCCGATCCGACCAATCTGCTTTTTAAAAACAACTTTAAACTGAGTCTGTGTTTTAAGGGAAAAAATAACATTCTTAGTTTCAACATTTCATGTGTTACCTTTGCACTATTTTCGGTTTAATCTAAATTTTAAATGATTTGAAAAACATTAAAATCTGTTTTAATTGATTTTGTAATCTGTGTCCCGACTTAAATGGAACTGAGGTCCAGATTGTTCTGGTTCTGTGAGTCTCAATGAAAAGGCTTTTAAACCGTGTTAGATGTAACCATGTGTAAGTCATGTGACATAAATGCTTAAAATCAAACAGGTAAGTAAATATGTGCGAGTCTAACTGTTATTCCACTCAACAGCATTACACAGCTAAACAGTTCTGTTCACACACACACACACACACACACACACACACACACACACACACACACAACCATCTATTTTTAGCTCTGTTGCACAGCTTTTATCACACATGCACATCTGGCTCTGTATTCCCCCATTTCCTCCCACAGGGATGCAGATCAGATGAGGCTCATCATGATACTAATGTTGAATCCCCCCACCCCCCCTCCCTCTGTTTGGTCTCCCCCTTTGCCCCCCCACTGCAGGTCCAGGCCTGGCATTCATTGCCTACCCTAAAGCTGTAACCATGATGCCTTTTCCTACAGTCTGGGCAATTCTCTTCTTCATTATGCTGCTGCTGCTTGGCCTCGACAGTCAGGTGAGCTGAAACAAAGAGGTGTCAGCAAAACCAGTTTTTGAGGCGACCCTCACCAAACAGTTTGATCCTCAATGACAGTTGAAGCCTGCACACAAGTTTAAAGGGTGTTCAACATCAAGTTTAGGGCTATTACAAAGCCGCATTTTTACCTCTCCTTTATCAAAGCCAAGACAATCAAGATAAAGGTTTTATCCTGATTTTTATGGAAATCTTAGATAGGCTATGCTAAGGGAAGTCAAAAAATATGGAGAAACATGGTAATTTATAAACTTCATTGATTAAAAAATAGAAGGAAGACATGACCGCTAAAAAGTTTGAGATGCTTTTATTTTGAAAATTTTACTGTCTCATTTTGATACTTCTTTGTTTCCTTTAATGAAATTTATGACTGTTTTTGATGTATTGCTGTTCATAGAAATGAATGAAAATGGTCAGAAAGTAAACTTATCTGTACTCCAAAGAGGCGTACTAAGGGGTTTGAATCATGATAAATCTTAAATTATCTGTTTTAAGATTTATATGTTTTAAAATTAGTCTAAAGAGCTACTCCTGCTCTCTACTATGAACCAGTTCGTCACATGGGATGCCTGTATTTTAGCAAGAAACCAACTTAGATGTCGATACTGGTGCATTGGGACCACCTTGATATTGTATACGACCCGGTAAGATTGTGACTCTGTTCAAGTGGTGCAAAATCCAAATACTGCCAAATATAAATGGGTTGAATTGTCTGCAAAGCTTAATCTAAAAGACAGCCAGGTTTTGAGACTGTTCCTGTAAACACACACAGGGGAAAAGTCTACGCATTGTCCTCTGCTTCAGTCTGCACATGCAGTTATTAACATGAGTGCTGACATGCCATGTCTGAGCCAACAAAATCACACGTACAGAAAACAAACATGCTCAAGCGTGTCGCTAAGCTGGACTGATCAGGTTTTTTTACATGAGGTTTCTGGTAACCTTTCTGTGTTTGTGTTTCTGCAGTTTGTGGAGGTGGAAGGGCAGATCACATCACTGGTGGATCTGTATCCGTCCTTCCTAAGGAAGGGTTACCGCAGAGAGGTCTTCATCGCTATCATCTGCTGCATCAGCTACCTGCTTGGACTCACCATGGTTACCAAGGTAACAACACCATCGGAAAATCGCACAAAATTGAAGTGGGAGAGAACCTGCTGACCTGATTTCTGTCCGTGTCCCTGAGCTCAGTGCAGCAGGAACAACAGCGGCGTTCAGACAGATATCAGTGTCTGTCCCCGGGGAGAAGACAGGAGTATATTTATACAGTCGAGTCATGAGAACTTCCTCTCTTTCCTCCAGTATTAATAGACACAGAATACCTGACTTAGCTTTTCCAAACCTTCCTCTTCCTCCTCCTCAAATCCTATTTCTGTCTGTTTTCCCTTTACTCCTTTCTTTTTTCACTCCTTGTTTTTGTCCCCCCCCCCCCCCCCCCGTCACAAACCACCAGCCCTCTCCCCAGCCTATGTCCTGTTCTCACTATCTTTCTATTTTCTGCCCGGCCTGCCTCCCTCTTCCTCTGTTACTATCACCCTTCCTCACCCTCTGTGTTTCCCATGGCAACATCTTTTTATGGCAGCGGTGGCCTGGTTCGAGTTTAGGATTCCCATGATTGTTAAAACAGTTTTCACTCACGGGGGCACGAACATGTGTACTCGGACTCGGCAGTACTGTCACTGCCACCCACAATGTGGGTGTGTCAGCTGCATGTTTGGTTGGTTTTTCCCATGAAACATTGCCTATACACACACACTTATGTGTATGTGTATATATGACTGGCTTTTACAAAGTGGCTGCTCTCCAAGTGTGAAGGTTGGAGTTGATGTTTTATAAAGTGAAATTTTGCCTGAAACATCCCCTGAAAACAGTTAAATTTTCACCCGTGTCTCTTTTGTTTGTCTCTGCAGGGTGGCATGTATGTTTTCCAGCTGTTTGATTACTATGCAGCTAGCGGTGTGTGCCTTCTGTGGGTGGCATTCTTTGAATGTATAGCTGTTGCCTGGGTTTATGGTGAGTACTATCCTTGAAAAGCATTTGGTTGGATTTAATGCATAAATGCTCATTTTTTAAGTATACAGCCAAAGCAGATTCAGTCCCTCCTCTGTCTTTGTGCCTTGTATTGTTAATAACCTCTGAGTTTAAAAAGTGACACATAAATAGTCCTCTTGCTTCAGTAGCTGCTGTAACTTGTGGTGCACTCTGTTGCATTTCTCTAACGAAGAATAATTGTCGAAATTTGTCTGTTTTTCCAGGCGTTGATAATTTCTATGATGCTCTTGAGGACATGATGGGCTACAGACCAAATCCTTGGATGAAATGGAGCTGGACTGTTATCACTCCTTTACTGTGCATGGTAGGACACACACCAGCTCAGTGTGTTTGACGTGTTTTTGACGAAGATAGACCTGCTTCCTCAAACTTCAGCTCATTTAGTCCTGCCCATAACCAGATGAAACTAGCTGAGTGTCTCTGTCCTCCTCCTCCACAGGGCTGCTTTATCTTCTCCTTGGTCAAATACAAGCCATTGACGTACAACAAGATCTACGAGTATCCTGACTGGGCCATCGGAATAGGTTGGACTCTGGCCTTGGCCTCCATGATCTGCATCCCCATGGTGGTCGTCATCAAGATCATCCGATCTGATGGGCCGCTCATTGAGGTGGGTTTCAGCGCTACTTTGAAGTTACCGGTGCAGAGTGAAGGGAGTCACGACTTGTCAAATACAGGTTTCTGTTCAGAAGTCCAGTGTTTCCAAAAATGAATATCCAAGTCATGTTTTAGTTCATTTCTGCATGGGCGAGGCTCCATAGCAATGTTAGCTAGGTACCTTTTTTTTTCAGAATCTTCACATTCATGAATTTCGGATTTAACAAAAATGATCACATGGTTAAGGTTCTGGAAATAACAGCTGTTTTTATGGTTTTGGTATTTTTGTTTAAATAACATTTCCACATTTGCACAACCAATAGTAAACCATTCAACTAGTGAGTGCACTCAACGTAACTGATGTACTATGTATTTATACTTATCTATGTTCACATGAACTGAAACCACAACATCCAGTGTATCAAGATATAGAAGATGCAGAAGTGCCAAAAAATGCAACACTTTAAATGACCACTAGAAGCTGGCCCTAAAAGCAGAGGGATCCCCATTGACTCCCATTCAAAAAAATTCAGCTTCAGTTTTTCTTTCTGATAAAAGTGATCAAAAAAAAAGTTAACTTCCTAAAAGACACCTCATGGTTTAACCTGGGAATCACCCTGTAAGTTATTGTCTATGAGAAGTTGGGACTCTGACCCAGCTGCTGATTACTAGCTAAATTTGAGACCAATTAAACTTTCCTTTCTTTTCTGCAGAGGATCAAGGCGGTAGCAGCTCCGGTTCGCGGTGGGGCCAGCTCCCGTCCCGCAGGACATCGCGGCCTTAAGGAGCTGTCCGTCCCACTGGACCCCAACGGGAACAAGGGTCTGCTGATGAAGGCGCCCACCCACACCATCGTAGAAACCATGATGTAAAGGAGTGAAGCGGAGGCACTCCATGAGATCGCTCTCCTCTCCTCTCCTGTCCTCTGAAATGCTTCTAAAGCTAGCTAGCTTTCTGTCTCTCTGTCTGTCTGGTGGACTGAAAAGGGTTTTAAGGAAAAAAGTTCCCGTTCAAATCTTAAAGGAATTTTTTGGAAGTAGTTTGCTCTTGGTGGTTTTCTTGTAAGGGTAGCAATCACATTTCAAATCTGTTTCTGGATTACTCACAAGCTGTTTTGCTTTTCTTTTGTCTTCGTAGTCAGCTTGTGACTACACATCCCACCCTTGTCAGGTTAAAAGACAAATGAGCTTCAGTCACTGGTCTGGTAGATCTCTGCCAGTTCAACCAGATAATTAACCGTTAAACCAGCTGCTGTATTAGAAAAAGGAAGAGTTAATTATTGACCCCTGGATTTAGAAAGCCTTTTGTAGCCACAGCATGAAAAGGTTTTCTCGAGAGATCACCCAGAGCAGTCTTTCTTTGGCTGTTCTGGAAAATGAATCAGCTCTTTAGACAGAGTGTCCAAACTTTAGGGGACAGACCGCTGACTTCCAGTCAACTGAATCTGTTGATCTATGCTCAACAGAAAGGTGAATTCAGACCAAAGCAAAGCCAATATTTTCTGTCTCTTTCCCAGATAATTTGACCACAGGATTAGAAGCACTAATAAATAAAGAAATTGAAAAATAAACCCTCATCCCTATAGTACAAGCAGGATTAAATGGCTAAAAATGCTGCCAAACTAACTTCATAAGGACGCAGATTGGTGAAAAGCATACATGCATGTTTTGCTCAGTCTGCCTGCAAGCTGACAAGCTAAGAAATCTTAGCTTATTTTTAATGAAAACAGGCTTACCACTGATGTCATGGTCAACATAAGGAAAATCTAACCCTGGAGAGGGTTTAGGGACAGTTTAATGGAAAGTTTCTCATTTTTGGACCCAATTTTGTTTTGCTGTTGGTTTGAATGTACCCTCAGATATATAGAGCTGTGTGTCATCAGCAAAAAGGAATTCTGAAAGTAAGAACGTCATGTTTTTTAGCTGCACTGGGTGATATTTTCGAACCATCTTTATAAAATGTGACTAGTGGGGTAAATTACTCTTAAGCCAACAATATATATGTCCAGTTCATTTTACTTATCAACCAGCAAGTCTTGACAAATTAACCAAAGCAGATTGGTTTTTCTCGGTCGCCTTCCTCCCCTCATTGGTTATTTAACAGACAGAATGGTAAACCGGCTAAAAACATGAGCTATGTCAGCCAAAGACCCTTACCAAACCAGAATCATGGAACTGAAAACGCACCTTAGCTCGAGTATCCCCACCTTCCATAGCTGTAGACTATGGGTGAAAGAGAAAACTAGGACTGAGTCTGTGTCGGGGTGCCCAGTCCGGCACAGAGGTATCTAAAAGGATTTGAACTGTAGAGGTTGAACCCTTGAGTGTGTTGTCTGTGGCGTACTGTACAGTAGTAGCTAGTCAGTCTATCTATATCTATCTCTATCTCTATCTATCTTTCTCTGTCCTAGACCAGTTTACAGTACATTAGTAACTGCACTAGGCACTCTTACAGGCTTACATTTTTGGATTGGATTTGTTTTATTTTCTACAGAGGAAGTTACATTATTACTAGTTTTTCCTCTGTCAATGTTTAGATTTTTTTATTAAGACTATAATGTTATTGGTATTCACTATTGGTGATAATTGCTGTAGTTTTACATAGAAGAAGGAACACTTCTTTCATCTAGTGAAAATACTAAGCTATTATACAAATCATACTTTTACAGAGGCAGCCATTGTAGTGAAAGACCTCATCACGCATTCACCCTGTATTCACCCTGACTTTAACCGGGAAACAAACAATGCAACTGATTTCTCTCAAAGACTTTGTCACGTAGGGGTGTGGGTCCAACATCCAAGGAGCCTCTTCGATGTACAGTCCAAAATAGGATCTCTACAATGGCATCCTCTGTAAGTTTGTAGGTGTTGGGGGTTTATAGCTTTTTCTCTTTTGTAAATACCAGGGGGAAGTATTTAATTTGGATAAACTCAGCCAGACAGGGCACTTTCAGTGGTTAAACAACACGATACCAACTCATCGAGTCAAAGAGACCATTAGCCGGGCAGCACTCCCAACAAAGTGTCAGACTGTCCACTTGTCTGAGTGTCGAGCTGCTCCCCCGTCACTGTGAAATGTGGCAGCTGGCTGCAGACAAACCAGAGCCAATGAACAACAGAGTTTGATTGTTTTGTCCTTTTTTTCACCAACAGTTTTGATGTAAACCCTCTGAAGTGAGCGTGAAAAAGTTTCTCAATGCACTAGCAACTTTTATTTCTCCTTTACTGGTTTCATATACTCGAATGTCCCACACTTGGGTGCTCAAAACTGATGACTCTTTATGAATTGGTCTTTGCCCAGAGGGTTCCATTAAAGACGATTATTGGTAAATCATAAAAAGTTGTAAGAGTGACTTTTTTCCTGGCATGATGTTGGAACAGGTATGGTTTGTTTTTTGACCATTATTGTAACGACCCCAGTCCGAACTCTGTTGCTCATTGGCTCTTTGAGAAAATCCACCCTATGACACATGATCAGCCTCTGTATCTTCACCTCTGACGGACTTTTCCAAACTAAGCATGAAAACAAACTTCATCTTGTTGCTTATGTCAATAGAGGACCACAATACTGACCACGCGAACCGTTGACATCAGAGTGAAACAAACTATCTGAGAAGTATGTTAAAGACGACCGTTACCTTCATTTGAATATGTCTGTGTAACAAGGGGTTTCCCACGTGTATGTGTCACCAGCGACCATCCACTCAGGACCTTCTCTGTAGTGCTTTTATCTACTGTAAAGCTGCATTAACCCAGCGTCCAAAAAATTAGACTCGTAACTGTGGGTGACGAAGAGCTGACGATAAACGGTAGCAATCCAATCTAATGATTCTGTGCAGCTCGAGAAGCCACTAGATCAGCTCTTTGTCACGCTGAATGGAAAATCACACACCTTAACTGCCTGATTTCTCCTCAGTCAGAGTCAAAGTGAGTTTTTATTGCACCTTCTTTGTATAATTTGGACTTCATATCAAATGATGAGGCCAAAAAGAATCAAGTAACACTGCCATCTTTTTATTCAGGGTCCGCCTCTAACGGCCTCTATGGTGAAAAAAGAAATGACTGAATGTGGTTTGAGCTTTTGGTGCAGACATATTGAAATAGATCAAATCCTCAGTTAACACCAACCCACATCAGATAAACACACAACACACACATTTCAGGAAACAACCACCAACATCACAGCAAAGATATCCTGATAGCAGGGCCTTGTTTTGTGTGTCGTGTACGTCTGTTTATTTCTTCATGTATAATAAACTAGTTCATATCACGAAAAGGGATTTGTGAAACCAAATCCACAGCAGACATCTATTTTCATACAGTAACAAACTTTTCCTATAGACCCTGTCTTTGTACAGTTAGGCTCCCATTGCAGACTTCCCATTTTAATACAAATACTAAGCTTCCTTTTAATCCTCCACTTTTGTACAGATCTGGTTTTTGAGTCTCCTGCATGGTGGATCTCTGCGCCGAGGCCTGAACACCAAACCATATCACTTCAGACAGTAAAGATCTGTCAGATAGAAAATTACCTTTTTGGCTGATTCAGCAACTCGGGTTTTCACATTTTGTCCGCCGATAAAAGCTGCAGAGAAATGCTGAAAACCGTTGACTTTTGAGGGGGATTGACAAATGATGCTGGCCAAGAGTCTAAAGAGTAAAATTCTGAACACAAAAGGGTTTAGTCTAGTTTTTCCTGACAGAAATCTTTCCCTGGTGCAGAGATCCTCGGTTTTTCTGCAGAAGCATGGACCAGAAATAAAAATAATAATGATAATAATAATAATGCAGTCATTTATGGGATTATTCTGCCTCCCTCTCTCTCTCTGTGTTCCCACTATGTCCACCTTTTTACACTCCCCGTCAGTTAACCTTTGTTGCCTTCCTGTTAACCCCAGCTGACCTGCTTTTCTCAAAGGAAATGAATTTGCAAGAGAATCGAAGCATTAGTGATGCACAAGTTTTTACCGCCGAATGTTGAAATGTGAACGTCACCTTCACGGGTGAATGTAAAAGTTTCTGAAGATTTATTTTTTAGGATGATTTCTTCTTTTTATTTCCATTGCTCTGGTTTTTATTAAGTTCATCAGTTTTTTGTCTTTTTTTGTTTTTGATGGTTTGTCTGTCACATTGCCTTTTGTATTCCAAATATGATGTTTTTGAACCTCTGTCATTGGAGTAACATGTACAATTATCAATCAGAAAAGCAAACAAAAAGCGACAATTTGTTACGTGCAATACTTTGTAGAAAACGTTTATTTTCATGCTGTTTTTTCAAAAAGTCGTTCTCGCCTGTGAAGGAAGACGACAGCCTGTGAAATCTTGGAGAAAAAAATCTGAATCTTCAGGGTCCACTTTGATAAAAAGCTGCCACAAAATGGGACGAAAACCAAACTGGACCACTTTTCCATCAGAGATCTTGTGGTTTGAATGCACTGAGAATCAATGATTTGTAAACTTTGTCACATTAAACTTAACTTCTTTGTGAAATGCCGTATTTTTTTTTTTTTTTGTGACAGACTTCTGAGTTCGTGGAGGAGTGAGAGACAGTAACACTGCCAGTAAGCCCACCATCTTTTCAACGTTATAGCGCTGCTGGTTGCTGAGAATCAGGCAGCTCTCCCTAAGCAAGTCACCAAAGGTTCAAACAAAAATACACGGGAGACGTGTGCAAATATTAGGACGTGTAATTTCCTCGTAAATGGAACAAAAATCGTGGAGTAATTTCTGCTGCTTCTGGGAATCCTGCTCCTCAGCAACAAAAGCAACAAATCCAATAAAAAGCAGATGAAACCATATCAAATGTGGGCTTTACTTTCAAACCTTTTATGCAATTTTTACATCCTGCTTTTTTGAATTTCAACTTGACTCCACCAAACCCTGAAACCTTTGTGCTTTATCCCAAAAAATAGAAAATAGGAATCAAACTCCATCCACACGAGAGCAGATAGCCTGATTTTAAATCTCATGTTGCCTATGTCCTGGTCATACCCGGTCTAAAAACACTGACATATCTGCAGGAGTCCGAATCTGATGGTCTGTTTCTGTTAAAGATGTAAGAGAGTCTGCAGATGTGGGTTTGGACGAAACCTCATGACTTAAGTGATAGAGGAAGACAGACGGGGCTCCATTACCAGGCCGTAAATAAAACACACCTGATAAAATGACCTGATCTCTGCAGTAAGGCCTCCGGGAAATGGAGTCCCGCTCTCCCTGCTTCATTCTGATCATGGTCTCCAATGACAATGCCTCTGTCTTTCCTGCATTATACTGTATACCAGCCCTTCCTTTTTTGAGAATGTACATGGGAAAATGTTTTTTTAATTCTTGGTGAAGAGAAAAAACATTTTTAAAAAAGAATTTGAAAGCTTTTAATTTTTTATTTCTATTGCCAACCTGTAAGCTAGAAAAAAGAGAAAAAAATATGTGTTTGAACAGGTTTTACACAGTGTAAAACTTTTTTTATTTCTTAATAAAAAATTTGTCTTCACAAAATGTGTGTTGGGCTTTTGCTTACCTTGACTGTGTGACGTGCACAGACATCAGCTGCACACAGATTCCTTTATTCAAGTTCAATTTCCCAACTCCAGGGACTTATGTACCTAAATCCCCTTGACAACATAATAAAGTCTAATCCTACAAAGCTTTTAATACAAGACTGAAGGTACTGGAGCCAACGCAGGAGGCTGCATTCCTGAGGAACCGAGCTGCTGGCCTCCTGAAGTTTATGGTAGTGGAGCATGTCTGTCTGTATTTATGCATTATTAGATCACAAAGTTATCAACTAGATCTGCTTTGAACAGTTTACTTTGCTTGAACTCTGAAAATTTACTTCTGGAACTGAAACTGAAAACATTTGAACATGCTGAGATTTAAATTCTGCGGATAAAAACCAAATCACCGCTCATCAGACTCCCTGATTTACAATCAAAAGGATTGGCCTTGCAGATGCACCATGTTTGGACCTGAAGGCCTTAGTTCTGGATGGCAGCTCAGGTTTGACTTCTCTGATTGGCTGCTAACATCACTTTGTAAATTTGACCTGCATCTGATTTCACTGTGAGCAGGTCACCATCCTGAGCTGACCTGCAAAAGAACAACAAAATAATCACACGCTACAGAGCGTCAGTGAAAGTGAAAAGCAGGAAATCTACATGCAGAAAAGGTGAGAAAGAGGAAGAGGCTTCATGCCCTAGAGGCTAAATTCAGTCTTTGTGTGAACTTAGACGTTAAACCCAGATATACAAGTTTAATTTCATAAATGAGATTTCATCACTTAAAGATCCAGAGGACACTATTTCTACATTGTAACACTGCAAAGATATTTAAATTTAACTTTTTCAGCTTCTATAAAATGGAACAGTGTCAAAAGTCATTTTGGGGGGTTTTACACTCACACAAAGTGTACTTTTTATGTACTGAAGAGGCAGTTAAATTACTTTTTATTTTTATTTTTAAAAAGCCTTAACATACAATACAGGTATTCAGAGGACACTTTTTTTGCACCGTTTATTTACTGGGAGGACTTCTGGAGGACAGTTTTTCATGTGTAATGTGTGATGTGCTGGAAGGGCCTCCAGAAAGCACTTTTTTTTTTTTAATCATATTTTCTGGTGGAAAAGGATCTACACTTTTCTAAAGTTTTACATGCTTGGAGGGTATCCAGAGGGTACTTTTGAGGTTGTATATGCTCGAAGAGCATTCAGAGGGCATGTTTCCCACATATTTTAAAACTGTTAAAAAAAACTGACGATCCTCTAGAAGATCGTCTTTTGTTTTAAAAATGTCAAAAGTGCATAAAAAAGAAACTTTTCCCGCATTTTTATTTTTTGAAAAATCATCTAGGGAACCCTTTCATGTCTCATATTATGCTGTAAGTTTATTCTTTATCATAGACCCTGATGAGGCATCTAAACAAGACCTTTTTTAGGTTTAACAGTAAAAATTATCTACAGGGAACCTTTTCATGTGTTAAAGGTCATGCTATGTGCCGTTTTTTGAATTTATATGATGGATGAAATGTATTGAAATTATGCAACTGCTGCAGTCAAACAACAAAAGCTTGTTTTATTGTCTCTCAAACCTGGTGTTCCTGCCTGGAGTGCTGCTCTGATTAGCTGGTTTGCATGATTGTCCAGGTTATTTCCTGGGAAGTGATTGCTATTTCAGGGGTAAAATCGAGCTCCAACCATGTTTCCTTTATCTGGCTGTCATTGTTGGAGTTGTTTTCTTAAGAGTCCAGGTTAAAATGGTGTAATTCTAAAACCTCTGTCTGCAGAGTGTTTTTCACCAAAGAAGGGATGCCTTTTACTTTTTTTTTTTTTTTTTTTTTTGGAAAAACAGATGAAAACTACAAACAATACAGCTCTCTAAAGGTAAGCTGCACACTTTGAAATGAAGGCCTTCAGCAGATCTACAGGAAAATACTGTATTTTGACCCAAACGTGTTTCACGATGAGGAAATAAAAGGCTCAGACATGCTGCTGATTATCAGGAGCTAAATTTCCCACACAGTAATTTCCCTCACAGCTCTCACATGATGCTTTTTTCCTTTTTTTTTTTTTTTTTTTTTTTTTTGCATGAACCAATTCCCATGACCAAGTCGACATGAACGTTGCACAAAGTACTATTTTCATGGACCCTGTTTGTGCATCACAGTAAACAATAAGTATGGCCAGGAGGCTTTTTCTGCAGCAAACAAAGCCCATCAGTACTTCTGTCTTTATTTAGAGGCATGCAATGTTAAGTCCATAACACCAGCATGATTATTATGATGATTATTCTGATTATTCTCAAACAAAGCTCCTCTGTTCAGCACTGACTCATGATGCTGGTGGTTTGAACCTGCTGCTGAAAAGTAGAAGTGTTTGTTTCATTCTGACAGCCCAAGCCTTCAAATAACCAGAAAAACAGAGAAAGTAAAAGCGCTTACATTTCCTTTCTCACCCCGGCAGCTCTGAAAATAGACTTTTCTGCTGAGAAATCTTCCTCGATTTATCCACATGACATGTTTTTTGGCCATCACACGGTGCAAATATTTTAAAAAGAGAGTGTTTTTTAGATTAGTGCATCATGGGACTTTCGCCTTTTGTTCTACAGCCAAAAATAGAAACAAAGAGGAAACAGAAAAACAGCAAAGACAGTGAGAGAGGGATGATGTGAAAGTCAGATGTTCTGATCCCAGGATGTTTTGGTTTCTCAGAGAAGGCCGCAGGGACTTTGTTTTTCCAGTTGTTTTTGCAGATTTTCCCTCTTTGGTCAGCACGTCCAGTCCTCCACGCTGAAACCATGCGATTGGTTTGATTTTCTGGAGATACGCAGCACTTTTTAAAAAAAACATTTACCTTTTTTAAACATGTGAGCGGTTAGATTCAGGTGGAAATGATGCGCCAAGCTTCACTCTATCCTCCATCTTTCCTAACCTAATAGGAGCGTGGTGCTCCGTCAGAGGTGTGACCAGGTGTGTGGCAAGTCGACCAAACTGGGCCATTCTGGGCAGACAGATTATTGGTATTTCATAAGACCAGGATCAGATTTGCATTTTTAATCATTACAGCCATAGTAAAGTATGTTAAAAAAAAATTGTAGTTAGGTATGATAAAAATATCATAGTATAGTATTACAAAGTGTAATAGTAAATTTTAAAAAATGTATAACAGTAAAGTATAACAAAATTAATCCTAGTTGAGTATGACAAAAAGATCATAGTATAGTGTATTAAAAAATTATATATTATATATTTTATATTATAAAATGTCATAATATAGTATGTTAAAATACAGTATGGTATGATGAAATATCAGTATAGTAAGAAAATAAAATCGTAGTTAAGTGTGATAAAAATATCATTGTATAATATGTAAAAATATCATAGTGCTGCATGATAAAAATGTCATAGTACAGTACCATAAAAATGTCAAAGTACAGTATGATAAAGATATATTAAAAAAGGAAAAAAAGTCACAGTATAGTTTAATAAAAATGTCATAGTAGAGTATGATAAAAGTATCATGGTATAGAATGATAAGAATGTCTTGGTATAGTATAATAAAAAAATCATGATAAATATATCAAAGTGAACCATGAAAAAATATTATGATATAGTGTGATAAAAATGTCCTAGTATAGTACCGTAAAAATGTCTCCTGAAGGGAGGGAAGGTGACCGACCGGTTCAGCTTCTTCCTAGGAGGCTCTTAGATCCCATCAGTCACAGAGAAGCCTGTTAAAAGCCTGGGGGAGATCTTCGACTGCTCCCTGAGGGATACAGCTTCCATTCGGGCTACCAACGAACAACTGGAAGGCTGGCTAACTGCAGTGGACAAATCTGGTCTCCTGGGGAAGTTCAAGGCATGGGTGTAGCAACATGGCATCCTGCCCAGGATACTGTGGCCATTGCTGGTATATGAATTTCCCATGTCCACCGTGGAAGGGTTTGAGCGGAGGGTCAGCAGCCAACTCCGGCGCTGGTTGGGGCTTCCTCTGAGTCTCAGCAGCATCGCCCTCTACAGCTATGACAACAAGCTGACCCTACCAATCAACAGCCTCACCGAGGAGTTTATGGTTGCCAGAGCAAGGAAGGTTCTCCATTACAGGGAATCGAAGGACCCAAAGGTTGCTCAAGCTGGCATAGAGGTGAGGACAGGCAGAAGGTCGGCTGTCCCACAAAGAGCTTGTGGGATCTGTGGCTACCGGTCGAGCAGGACTGGAGACTGTACAAACAACCCACCTCAGCAGGCTCAAGGGCAAGGAAAGGCGGGACCGGGTCCAACTCGAGGTGTGGGCTGGAGTCGAAGAGCAGCGTGCAAGCCGGTGGGTGGGGCTAAGGCAGCAGGGCGCGTGGATCAGATGGGAGGAAGCCATGGACAGAAGGATCTCATGGTCGGAGTTGTGGAAGGCTACACCGCTCCACATAAAATTCCTCATCCAGTCTGTCTATGATGTCCTGCCTAGCCCGTCAAACCTCTTCCTTTGGGGCAAGGCTGAAGCTCCATCATGTACCTTGTGCCAGGGAAGGGGAACACTAGAGCACATCCTCAGCAGCTGTCCTAAGGCACTTGGAGATGGCTGCTATCGCTGGCGCCACGACCAGGTGCTGAAGGCAGTTGCTGAGTCCATCCACTCTGCCATTGACCACAGCAAGCACCTGCAACCACTGAGGCACAGAACAGCATTTGTGAGGGCTGGGGAAAAACCTCCTCCCCAACCAAAGGCCCAAACAGGACTTCTGGGAACAGCAAAGGACTGGCAGCTGAGGGTGGACTTAGGAAAACAGCTTAAGTTCCCTGAGAATATCACGGAAACCAGCCTGAGACCAGACATAGTCCTACAATCAGAGTCTTCCAAGCAGGTCATCATGTTGGAGCTGACAGTGCCCTGGGAGCAGAGGATGGAGGAAGCCAGCGGGAGGAAGAGGGAGAAGTATGCCGAGCTGGTGGAGGACTGCCGCAACAGGGGGTGGCGTGCAAGACGCCTGCCCATTGAGGTCGGGGGAAGGGGCTTTGCAGGGGGGTCACTCTGCAGGGCCTACAGTCTCCTAGGCATCACAGGGGCACATAAGAGGAGAGCCATCTGCTCAGCTTCAGAACCAGCTGAGAAAGCATCACGATGGCTGTGGATTCAGAGGGATAAGGCGTGGATGAGCGCTTCTTGGACACAGGCCGGGAACTGATCACTCTCGGTCAGGTCGCCTGGGTGAGGGGGTCTGAAGTTGAAAGACCCGAAACCCCCGTGACCCCCGTGACCCCAGGTACTATCACTGATGATGTGTCCAAGATTTTGCATTGCAAGATGTTTTGAACAACTAACTGATAAAAACATCCTAGTATAGTACCGTAAAAACGTCAAAGTACAGTGTGATAAAGATATCATATTAAAGAAGGAAAAAATAGTCACAGTATAGTTTGATAAAAATGTCATAGTATAGAACGATAAAAATGTCATAGTAATGTATAATAAAAATGTCATAGCAGAGTATGATAAAAGTATCATGGTATAGAATGATGGTATCTTATGGTATAAAGAATGTCTTGGTATTGTATAATAAAAAAATCATAGTAAAGCATGATAAATATATCAAAGTAAACTACGAAAAAATATTTTGATATAGTATGATAAAAATGACAGTGAAGTGTGATAAAAATGTCATATTATAGTATGATAAAAAATCATATATAAGTATCATAAAATATCAAAGTATAGTGTGATAAAGATGTAATATTCAAGTATGAAAAATTATCCTAGTTAATTATGATAAAAATATCATTGTATACTATGTGAAAATATTAGTAAAGTATAGTATAGTATGATAAAAATGAGGATTAAAATTTCGTAATATAGTTTGAAAAAACTATTTGTCATTGTAATGTAATATTAGATTGTAGTACGAAAAAAATGTCATAATTAAGAATGTTAAAAAAAATCATAGTAAAGTATGATTTAAATGCCATTTTATAGGATGATAAAAATATCATATGATATTAAGTTAAAAAATTATTAAGTATTAAAAATATCATAATCTAGTATGTTGGGAATTTTATATAATTGTATAAAAAGATTATATATAGCATTATAAAATGTCAAATTCTAATTTAAAAAAAGATATAAAAGAAAAAATAAAATAACAAAAATATAAAATTGTCAAAGTATGATTTGAAAGCAATATCACAATAAATTAAAATGAAAGGTGTATTAAAAATCCCAGATAAGTATCACTGTTCGCTGTTTCCCCAACAACAAACCCTGGATCACAAGTGACATAAAAGCAATCCTTAACCAGAAAAAGAAAGCTTTTAAAGATGGTGACAGAGAACGACTCAAACAAGTGCAACAAGAGTTAAAGAGGAGACTGAAGATAGCAAAGCTGGAGTACAAAAAGAAGATAGACAAGAATCTACGACACAGCGACATCCATGAAGTGTGGAGAGGAATCAGTACCATCTCTGGACACAGCAATAAAAAGAAAAGACAGCCAGTGGTGGGTGATGTGGTAAGAGCTGATGAACTCAACCTGTTCTTCAACAGATTTGACACTGCTATCACACCCACTTCCACTGCTACTCCACCTTCCTTTCTGCAACAAATCTCCACTACAACTTCTCCCCTTCCTCCTCTATCTTGTTCAAATGTTTCAACTATTTCAACTGCCTCCCTCCTAGAACACCAGTCCTTGTCTGTCACTGAAACAGGGGTAAGGATGGAGCTTGGTAGACTTTGTCCTGGGAAGGCAGCTGGTCCAGATGGTATGTGTTCAAGGCTGCTTAGAGACTGTGCTGCAGAACTGTGTCAACCTCTCCACAAGATCTTCAACCTGAGTCTACAGCTGGGGCGGGTACCTACTCTGTGGAAAACATCCTGCATTGTGCCAGTACCAAAAACTACTGACCAGTGGCCCTCACTTCACACATCATGAAACCCTGGAGTAGGTGATTCTACGCTTTCTCGTGTCTGAGGTCAGAGACAAACTGGTCAAACTCCCTGCAGGGAGTATTTAAAATGTCATAGTATAGTCTGATAAAAGTATCATGGTATAGAATGATAAGAAATAATAATGATTGTAAAGCATCATGAATATATCAAAGTAAACTATGATTAAAATATCTTGATATAGTATAATAAAATGAAAATAGTAAAGTATGATAAAAAATATCATAGTATAGTATGTTAAAAAATCATGGATAAGTATTATAAAATATAAAAGTATAGGGCGATATAGATAGATAGATATTCAAGTATGAAAAATAATCCTACTTAATTATTATAAAAAAACCATTGTGTAGTATGTGAAAATATTTGTATAGTATTATAAAAATAAAATTAATAGTATAGTACGATAAAATGTCATAGAATAGTTTAACTGAAAATTAGTATGATAAAAAAAATCATAGTATAAATGTGTCATGGTATAGTATTATTAAAATGCCATATAATAGTATAACAAAAATGTCATTATGTAGTTTAATTTTTTTATTTTATGATAAAATATTATATTAAAGTATGAAAAAAATGTTCAATTTATCCCGCTCCTATGGTCAACTTACCCCATACACGGGGTAAGTTGACCATAGGAGACCACTATTTTTTGATATGCTATATTATCAAGGCAGTTAATTCTTAATAAATTCTGTTGGTTTGCAGAGATGCAAAACATCTTGAAAAATATGCAGATATACTAGTAAGAGACAAAACCATGATTTCCTTGATGTAGTGATCCGAAATATGAAAAATAATTCATCTTAACCCACTCTCCCCAATAGTATGATTAAAAAAAATGTCATAGTATAGAATGATAAAAAATGTCCATATAGTATGTTAATAAATCTCATAGTTAAGTATGATAAAAAATGTCATAGGATAGTATGTTAAAAAAAAATGCCACAATTTAGTATGTTAAAAAATGTCACAGTATAGAATGTTAAAAAAAATGTCATAGTATAGTGTCACAACCAGGCTCAAGTGTGTGTGACAAAGAGGGAGACTGCACATGGTTGCAAAGTTAAGATAAAATTTAAGGAAAGAATTTTTATAAGAATATTTAACTATGGTTGTCAGTGTGCCTGTGGTGTTGGATGTCTGTGATTGTATGTGTGTGAGTCAGCAAGGCAAAGCTACAAAACATTGAAGCAGTCTGCAGGCCATGGAGAGAGAGAGAGAGAGTGAGCTCCTTGAGAAGGGCTGCTTTATAGCCTCCTGATTCCAGCCTGCTCAGGTGTGCTGCAGTGATTGTAAGCTTCTCCCCCAATACCTGCAACACAGAACTCAGCCAGCAAGAAGGAAGGGTTAAAACAAGGATAAGGCCTCTACCTAGGCTGTAACAATAGTATGTTAAAATTGTCATGGTATAGAATGTAAAAAAAAAATGTCATAGTATAGTATGTTAAAAAATGTCAAAGTATAGTGTGATAAAAAATGTCATTGTGTAGTGTCTTAAAGAAGTTCATAGAATAGTATGTTAAAAAAGGTCATAGAATAATATTTAATAATATTAAAATGTAATATTATAGTATGATAAAAAAAGTCATTATAGTATGTTGAATAAATGTCATAGAAATGAATGATAAAAATTGCATAGGAAAGTATGTTTAAAAAAAAGTCATAGAGTAGAATGACAAAAAAATCACATAGCATAGTATTTGAAAAAAGGTCATAGAATAGTATGTTAAAAAATGTCATCTTATAGTGTGATAAAAATGTCATTATATAATGTAATATAAATAAAAACATTGTATAGTAAAATAAAAAGTGTCATAGCAAAGTATGTCAAAAAATGTCATAGCATAGTATGATAAAAAATGTCATGGTGTAGTATATAAAATTTCATATTATTGTACGTTTAAAAATATCACAGTATAGCATGATAGAAATATCAGAATCATGTGATAAAAATGTCTTAGTATAGTATGATAAAAATGTCATAGGACGGTATGACAAAAAAAATCTAAAAGTATGCTAAAATATCATAGTATAGTATGTTAATATTTCTTATAGTGTAGTATGATAAAAATATTTTAAGTATAGTATGATAAAAATGTCATAGTATAGTATGATAAAAAAATGTCATAGGATGTTATGATAAAAATATCATTGTGCAGTATAAAAAAACTGTAGTATATTTTGTTGAGAAATCATAATTTAGCATGATAAAATGTCATTGTACTTAAAAAAACAAAGTATACGATGAAAAAAATGTCACTGTTAAAAAATGATATTATGATGAAAATATCATTGTACAGTAAAATAAAAAAAATGTAGTAGTATAGTATGTTAAGAAATCAAAATCTAACATTATAAAATGTCATGGAATAGCATTTAAAAAAATTAAAGTATAGTATGATAAAAATGTCACAGTATTATGGTATATAATTAGTGCCAAAGCCTCACAAACACAAAAACTGTGTTTTATTCATCGCCAATGATTCACAAACAAACTCAGTGTGATTTGCAAAAGCAAAACATCATTCACAACTAATGCATTTAGTTTTGTTAATAAAAAAAAATGTATCTCCAACAAGTACTTCATTGCTTTCCTGTTAAGTGGACCAGGTTAACAATATCAATGATGTCACTGTATTGATATACAATTACTGTAAATGAAAAAGATTTCACTGTAAATGAAAACGATTTCAAGAACAAGGGCTTAAGCTCTGTATTGTGTGATGATAGAGAAACTTAACTTCCTCAGCTGAAGATTTCCTGCAGCCTTCTACATGCAGAGCCAGTACTGGCAATATTTCTCCGCAGGTCTTGCATTGTGACTTTGGCATTTTGCTGAACTCAGGGGCATCAGCAGGAAGTGGTGTAGTGTCTATTTAGGGCCCGAGCCAGCTGCAGAGCAGCCGGGCGTAGGCCCTGTTATTCATCTTGTATTGGAATGATGAAAAGCATGTTTCTTCCAGAGTTGGATGCAGTCTTAAGCAATTTTGAGTTGTATCCTTCAGACTCAGGCGGCACCAATGTAAGCTTTCTCTGGCCATTTCCACCTTCATCATTTTGGACAGTGGGAAAGAGATAAATTAAAAGGGTTAAAGTAAGGAAAGTTTTTCTAGCCTGGAGAGTTAATGACTGAATAAATGTCCTGGGGCCTCATTTATAAAGCTTGCTTACGCACAAAACCTGGCTAGAAATTGCGTATGCCACTTCTTACGCAAGAGTTGGGATTTATAAAAGAAAAACTAGTGTAGGAATGTGCGCAACTTTAAGCAAACTCCACACCTTGCTTACGCACTTTTTGGAGACAATCGGAGCAAGGTGAGAATAGTCCGGGTGATGCGTTCAGCACAACGGATGACTCGATGCAGCCTTTCTGTCCTGAGAGCTGCAGCTGCCGTACCAGGCAGTGATGCTCGCAGAAAGCACAGACCCCACTGTGGCGGTGTAGATAGTTTGCCAATTTGAATTTACAAATGTGCAAAAAAACAAATTCCATTTACATGCATTTGTTTTAAGATTAATATGACTAAATCTTTTTGGTTTACGAACTTTCACCACATAAGCAGCGGTGGATAACGGAGCAGTTTTTTTTTTTTTTGAACACATGCACGAGTGTCACACGTGCATGTTTTTTTTTATTCTCACCTGTCGCCGCCACGCTCTGATGGTGCAAAGCCACTTTTTTCTTTGCCTCCACCTTTAGATCAGACCACTTCTTCTTGATTTCGGCACAGTTTTGTTTTCGTCTACGTCATCGTCAACGAAAACAAAACTCCACGTGTTTGCGCGCGCGCGTGCGTGTGTGTCTGTGTGTTGGAGGAGCAGAGCAGGCTGATGAGAGCTGTCAGAGCGGACAGAAGCTGCTCCTATATGTTTAGCGTTTAACTGACTGAGTTTTGCAACTCTGTTCGTCATTTTCGTCTCGTCCCATCAACGTAAACGCACTTTCGTCTCGTCACATTTTAGTCATCTCCGACTTATGTTTAGCTCGTCAACGTTACGTCTTCGTCGTGGAAGAAAAGGGAAATATTTCCGTCAACAAAAACAACCAGTGTTGTTCTCGTTGATGAAAATATTTCTTTTTGACGCTGGTGTTGACGAAAATATTTGACGAAATATTACGAAAACAACACTATTTCGGCAACGCTGCGCTCAGTGCCAGCCGCAATTGCCACCACGGCAACGGCGTTTTTATTGGTGATGCCACTCGAATGGCCGCCGAATAAGGTCTCCCGTCTCGCCGCCACCTCATTTACAAGAACCTTCACCTCGATCTCTGAAAAGTTTCTTTTTCTACGACTTGCTGATGCCATGGTTAAGCGTGAAATGCCGTGGATCCACCAGGCTTATCTACATGCAAATCACATTCATGAGGTAATTTGCATGACCATACATGGTGAATTTTGGGTGTGGAGAGAGCGGGGAAGAATCAAATCCCTGCTGAGCAACTTTCCAGCTGGTCTGTGATTTATAAAGGGAAAGTGCGTGCAGGTGTGCGTAGGCAGGGTTTTATAAATCAGATTTTTTTTTTGCCTACGCACTTTTCAGCTTTTCAACTTACGTACACTTTTAGTATGGATCCTACGCCAGGTTTTATAAATGAGGCCCCTGGTGTCTGAAATGTTTTAATGTTTAGTTTGCTTTATGTGATGATTTCAAATTTCAAATTTTGAGCGCCATATCCCAATTGCTATTATATTTACCTCATTACAGAACAATACATTTTTGAACAATATATTTTTAATCATTTACCTATTTAACTTATACTTATTAAATCATGCACCTAATGTGCCTGTACTTATCAATCATGCAACTCAGACGTTTTTGTTCACTTACCAGTTGCCTTGTAAAAAAGCCATCCACCAGACAAAGTCTGCAACTTGGGAAATCTATGCTGCAGCATATCTGAAATCTTATTAGGGCCATATAAAACCAACCATGAGCAATTCTTAATAAGAAATGATCACTCCAAATTACATCTTTAGTACATAATTTTATCAATGCATTCCTCTGCATGGTTGCTGTTTTCAGGCAATGCAATCTGACGTTTCCCTAAGCCTGCCATTAGCAGACTTAGTTCTTGAGACCCCTGGGGGGTTCTGGACATTGGTTTAGGGAGAAGATAATATTGTATATTTATGGTCTTTGTAGACTCTTTCGACACTATTTTAAAAGGTGATGGAAATCGCCTTTTCCCATATTTCTGTCGTCGTTGGAAAAGAGCAGGAAAAGATCTGCAAAGTAAATTGAAAGGCATGTCATACAAAAACTGAACAGCCCACAAACTATATATATTATTGCCACATTGCACTTTTTCTAACCTTGACATCTCCTGTTGCACACTGGCTGGTCTTGGTACATTTGGCTGACAAGATCCCTGGCTGGGATGTGGGCTATGGCTCTGGCCTGGAACCTCAACCTTCTCTTGGACTGATGATAATAGGGACAGCAAATTCTGTGCTGCTTTCTCAATATTTGAATAGTCTGACTTCTGCAAACACATGCATACAAACACGAATAAAGAATTGTTATTGTTCATCAATAATGAGCATGAAACCAGTTTACAGAAAAGTTAATACAATGTACTAAGTGGGAGCCTAAAAAGATTATTTAAGTGTGTATCAAATATCCATAGGAAAGACTCTGCATGTCATGTTATCAGTTCATACTATAATGGACATTTAATGACGAACAATTTGGCAATATTGTATTATTTCAGTCTACCTAGCAATGTATTTGTTACGTATTTGCTACCTAGTCAAGCCATCTCAGCAAGTCACTGCCACTTTGGGACAAGTTCGCGTTGAAACCGCTCCGTCCATGTTTATCATATTGACCTATACAGTCTATGGATGTCACAGAGCGAGGCGACGCTGGCTAACTGATCCAGTTTGAGCCATTTCATGAACATGTGAGGCGATTGACGCGGCCAACAAGACGTATTTAGTGAGAAAACATATATAAGGTTAAGTTAGCTTGATAGGTTAGCTCCAGCAGTGCCATAAACTACATATATCCACGGAGGAAATGTCAGTAAAATCAAAAATTTCATCAGCCATGGCCCCAAACTCACCTCTTGGCTGCTCATGCTGCCATTGGTTTCGTGCGGTCCAGGGCGAGTGATTGGTCTGTCCTCTGTCCTGGCCTCCTGGCCGTATCTATGATATAGATCTATGGTCTTAAACGGCATCAACAGTGCCACCTGCTGTCATGGCGAATCATGCCAAAACTGTTTCTCCGACTTGTGGAACTGTCTCTGCACAGAATTTTTTCTCCTACTCGCAGAATTTTTTTTGAACTCGAGAAGAAAAAATAAAATCTTAAGATTAAGATTAAGATTCGTATTTGAATTATATTTTTTTGTACTTGAAAGATTTTATTTTTGCGCCTGAAGGATATTTTTATGTAAGTGAAGATAGATTTTTCTGTATTTGTGAAGCATGATGTATTTGTTGGAGAGAATTTTTTTTATTAACAAAACTAAATGCATTAGTTGTGAATGATGTTTTGCTTTTGCAAATCACACTGAGTTTGTTTGTGAATCATTGGCCGTGAATAAAACACAGTTTTTGTGTTTGTGAGGTTTTGGCACTAATTTAATTTTATACAGTATAGTGTGATAAAAAATTTCACAGTATGGTTTGTTAAAAAATGTCATAGTATAGTAGGATAAAAATATCATCGTATAGTTTGATGAAAATACACTAGAATAGTTTGATAAAAATATCACAGTAAAGTATAATTAAAATGTCAAAGTATATTATGATTAAAACCTACCTGTTTTAACCACCTCCCCAGTGCACTGCCACCATTTCATATCGCCTGCCATCCTTGGTGCAATGCTGTCACAGCAGCCCTTGATATTACGATGGTTGGTTTTTGTGACTACCTTTGAGTGTTTTATGTCATTTACTGTGAAAATACATCAGTTTGAAAGGACGCCATGGCCATGTCCTTTGACCTAAACAGATGTTTTTTTTGATATTGTCCGCCTCAACAAGGTCTATCTATCAGACTGGAAGAGAAATAACATCAAAATTATGACAGGTTTGCTCTGGAGAAAGCCATTTTAGGCACCCGCAAAAAGCCCTACTTGTCTCTGAGGGGGCGCTGTTGCCAGACTAAGCCTCGTCGCGAAAAGTTGTACATCTTTCTGAAAGTAGACTATTGTGGGTACCTCTGGCCGCAGTTTCAGCTTTCTATGAATAAATCCTCAGGAGGATTTGTAAAAAGACCTTAAAAAGTGGGCGAAAACTCTCAAAACACCAATATTCAAACCAAAATGACAAACAACCGGTTGGGTGTGGCCCATGGATCCAAAAGGCTTTTTTTTTGTCTTGGGGTCCGACATACTATAAGTGTCCTTATGTGAATTACTTAATAGGGCTCTCACCTGCTGCGTCGGCTCAGGCCCTAAATATCTGTATCTTTGTTGTTGTCTGAGCATTTCTAAATACTTGGAGCTTATTCCTACAGGGATGCAGGGGTTCTTTGAGTCCCCCTAGTGTATGCTGTAAAAATAAGCTTTTTCTTTTGGTGGCTTTTATTATCTGTAGAAATTTATAAAATATGACTAATGATATACAAAAACTGGATGCATAATAATCACATTATTGCCTTAGTTTTCCTCCATGCAAGATTTCAAAGTGGACATGATTAGCTAGCAGGGCATTGATTGCGAGTCAAGTATTAGCCTGGGTTTTTGGTTGTGAGCTTAAATAAAGTTGTGCAAGATTATCGTTTGTTTACACCTGTCCTCGTGACAACCAGGCCTCAACAGAGTGACATGACACACTGGACAGCTACATTTAAGAAACCTTTATTCCTGCATCTTTAGTGACAACTCGATTATATTGAAACTCATCATGGTGAAATCCTTAGAACCAGCTTTGTTGTCCACGGCTGTGATTTATCTGTGAGGCTGTAGGCAGCTAACAACAGGCCTCAATTTGATCTCTGGTGCAATTACAATGACCCGTCTCTCTGCTGTAATCCTGCCGTTGGTCTGAATGCTCATTAAAAAAATGTGAATAACTTCTTTTGCACATGTTACTGCCGTGCCTGTGCATGCATTAAACGTGCTTTGTGTGTTGGGCCTGTTACATAAGATTAGTAAACACTTGGGGATAATTAAGTCAGCAGATGCAGGATGTACAGTAACAGAAACACACAGGCTAGATCATGTCATTTCACACAGGGAGAGAGAGAGGGAAAAAAAGGTCACGTGTGGATGTGATTTTCCAGAAACAGGAGGAAGTACTCTGAACCTCTCTCTTTTCAAATCTAACCCTGAACATGACTCACACCACAGATCACTCTGTGCACGCATCTGTCTCTTTGCATGGCTGTTGCTCTCTGCTACAATCCCTTCAATTAAGAGGAAAAAGTACCAAAACTATTTGTGCATCCTGGATTTTAAAAAAGTGTAAATATGTTGATGATGCTTCAGATTTAAAACCTGAAAACAAAGTTAATTCAGCTGCAGGACGAGTACCTCCAAAGATGAAGACCGAATAACGACAAAGGTCCAAACCTCTAAAATTAGAGGTTTTATTTTCGTTTGGTCTTTTTTCTCATGTTCTTCTCAAAAAGAGAAGTATAGCAGTACAGTCTTTATTTCATAGAAAAAATGAATCAAACAAAACAACAACAACAACAACAACAACAAAGTTATACATTTGAATTTGCTTCTTATCATTTTGTTTTGTATTTTCTCCCAGCTTTTTGGAAGAGTCTTATCATCATAGAAAAATACTATCTTACATAAATTAGACCTTTACACAATTTGAAGAAAAGGATACTACACAAAATCAACGCACATGTGAAAAGCCCGATCCAGAACCGTAACTAAGTCTGATCCCACTTTTTCAAAGAATGATGTAACTGGATCCAAATGTCAGAGGTCTGCATGAATCCACATATTCAGTTGATGTAGAAAATTTCCATTTTATAAGGAATGTGATAAAAAGACTGAGAACCACGAGATCAACGGTCATAAGACAGAAATCTAGAAATGATACTGTGAGACATCATTTTCAACTCATCTTTGACTGGAGCTATAGACGCCTAAGATCATATTTTATGGTCAATAAATTTAGTCACAACCACACCTGTGAGTTTATTTCGAATTTCTGAATCTTTTACAGACTGAAAAATAAAGATTAAATGGACATATCTAACCAGAGAGTTAATGACAAGCCAGTTAGATGACTTAATATTTGTTTTCTAAGTTCAATCACAGTTACGAGCCGAGGTTGTGGCTCCAGCTAACAGTTCCTGTCATCGCGCTATGATCCTATAAAGCTCTACTACCCGGATGTAAACAAACAGTTTAGATGCAGAAAATGCAGATAAAGTCATACGTTGTCTTCATCTGTTTAAACTGACCTGTAACCGCACGGCTGGAGAGCTGTGTAACCAGGACAGGCATGTGAACATTAACCTGCAGGAGTACAGAAGGCTTGTCTCGGATCTTCTGTTTCCTCGGTGCTAACTGTTGCTGGACTATGAAAGCTGACTTTTTTTGGCAGTAATTGAAGTCTGTTTTCATGCTTCATATTCACTTGCATTTGGGTATTTTTAACAAAGAAAACACTGGAAAATAAAAAGTGAATCAAAATCTTGTCCCATCATTGGCAGCAGCTCAAGACTGGTTGAAAGCATGTGCAATAAACAATGAAAAAGGAAGTTAGGATATCATCTTTGAAGTCCCGCCTCTTCTTGATTTTGATTGTGATATTGACTGAATTTGCACAGGCCAGAGTTGCTCCAGCTTGTGCAAGAGCACACAACACCAGCAGTGGACACAGCACCTGTAGTGTTCAAGACTTCCTGTGGACTCATTTAAATGCCTACTGTTTAATTATCTGAGTTTTATTGCAGTCTATGGACAGTAGACTAAAGTGTGAAGGCATCCCAGATAATGATCTTACCCAGTCTAACACAAAAGTGACCTTTAACTCTGCCAACCTCATCACAAGCTTATGCACAAAACAATGACTGAATCCAGATCCAAACAGAAGTTGATTATTGAGAGGTTATTTTATTTATGTCATATGAACCTGCTGACGTCAGCTAAACCCAGCGTGGTCCAAACAAACAGCCAAGACCAGTTTGATTTTTGGAGGATTTGACGACAACAGACCTTCGTTTTCACAGTTAGGTATTTCTTCTGTCTGTCTCGTCTCTCAGCTTGTGTATCTGTTATATTTTTCTTTCACAAACTCATCTGTGGGACTTAGTTGCGTTCCTGGATTGGGCTTTAAACTGACCTTTGACCCAGAAATGCATAGGGAGTATGGATGACCACATATACATACGTACATACATAAAAATGAACCCAACATTAGGAAGGCTTTTCTCATTTTTTTCACCTTTTTTGTTGCATTACAAAAATTTTTTTTTGGCCACTTGACATTGTGTAAACAAACACTCAGACATGTTTGTTTCTGTTGTACATGATAATACTTACAGTGCATGGTATTCAACAGTGTGCTTCTTTCTTCTTTGTGTGTTAATGAAAAAGTTTCTCCGGTGCGCTCACAGAAAAAAAAAAACAAGTCTGTTTTTAGTTTCAGGAGGAGGGAAATGTGAACATCCCCAAGGAAAAATCACCGCTGTACAATGAAATGTACACCACCGAGCTCCCACTCTGTTACACTGCCACACACACAAACACATGCTCATACATGCATCCAATGGTGGAAAAGAACATACATCCTTAAATACATACATGTAAACACACGTGTATAGTATACATAGAAACACTACACACACGCACACACACGTACACACACACACTCGGCCGTCTCGAAGGGGGCAGCTGGATTCTGATGGTGTGTTATGTAACGATGTGAGGAAAGAGCGAGAGACATACAGAGAGAGATAACAGAGGTTGTGATTGTTCCTTTTTTTCCTCCTCCTTCAGAGCACAAAGGCGATCCTCTTGTTCCTCCACTTTCTCACCTTTATCCTCACTAATATTATCCTCCTGTTATCCACTCTTCCTCACGAACACTCAGACCTCCTCATTCAGCTTCTTTCTTGTGCTTAAATGAAGTCAAACACATTCATCTTCTCCACCTGTATGCACACTCTTCTCTCTGCACAGCACACTCGTTTTGGTGAACCCTCAAATGACTCGGGCAGAGAGTTTTTGCTGAGGAGGAGAAAATCTTTTTCAGCAGGAAATCAAGGAATGTCTGCTGCTCAAAGTGGAGCAGAATGAGAGTAAGACTCCCTC